AGCAAAAGGAACTACATTAAGCAAAAGCACAGAGACAAGAAAGAGTTTCATGTGTCCAGGGAATAGTGAGTGGGGCACTGTGACTGAAGCTTAAGGCATATAGCCTGAGGGATGGTGACAGCTGGATGACAGGCTGGAATGTCCCACATGGAGAAAAGCAATGGAACTATTTGAACAGTGGTCTCTGGCTGACTGAATCTAGGAAAAATCTTTTGCTGATTCCCAGGTTAGAAAAAGATAGAACACAGTCCAAGGTGTCACCCTGAGGTGGACTCTTCTCTCCTTCTTTCTTCCACTGTGGAAATTTTGTGCCCACTCTATCCCAAACTCCTCATAGAAAGGGGATGATACGGTGACCTCTAAAACTAATGACCTTGCCCAACCCAGGCTTCAGTTCTGATGTGCTGAACCCTGAGGGTACAGTGTCCAAATAGTGGGCATCCTTCTGCAGCTGGATGTGGGCATGCCAAGCCCCATTGACCCTCAAGTCCTCTGACCTCTTCCTGGGCTCCATGCCCAAACTTGAGCTCATGCCCCTGTCTTGCCAGGCATGTTGGAGCCTGTGCTAACTGGCTGCCTAGCCACCCACTGGTGACAACTGCCACCACCTCCAGTGCTTTCTGTAACTGCCCTATAAGCTAAAGAACATCTTGAGAAAAAAAGAGGCTAGGGATCTAGAGCTAGGTCTTGTGGGCTCCATGTGGCCAGGCCCAGTGATTCATGCTCTTCTAGACTTGGACTCCTCATCAGAGCCCAAGAGTTAGGAACTGCATCCACCTCCCAGACCTAAGGGTTATAACAAGAATAAAGTTCTGGAGTTCTGCCAGATCTCAGATGCAGTGGTTTTCCCCACCAGCATGCCCTCATATGTCTGGCATTTTTTGTTTGTTTTTGTAGTACCAGGAATCAAATCCAGAAGCACTCTACCACTGAGCTACACCCCAGCTCTTTATTATTTTTATTTTGCACCAAGGTCTCACTAAGTTGTCCAGGAAGGATTTGAATTTGTGATCCTCCTGCCTCAGCCCTCCAAGTAGCCAGGATTACAGGCATTCAGCACCATGCTCAGCCTGTACCTGGCATTTTGAGCTTTATAAAGCTCCTCCAGGAATGTAAGCAGAGCGAATGTGAATGCAGGAAGGTCCACAGCCTCTTTCTTCCTCACTGGCCTGGAGAGCTCTGGCCCTCAGGAAGCTGAAGAACAGGCCAAAGAGGGGAAGCCAGAAGCCAGAGAAGTCATAGCTAGGGAAAAATACCATAAACAAAAAAGCAATGGGGAGCCAGGCATGGTAGTACATGCCTATAACCCCAGCACTCTGAGAGGCTGAGGCAGTAGGATTACAAATTTGAGCACAGCCTGAGCAACTTAGTGACTTAGAAAGACCCTGTTTCAAAGTAAACAATAAAAATGGCTGGGGATGTGGCTCTGTGTGAATACCCTAGGTTCAATCCCCAGTACTGCAGGAAAAAAAAGTGAGAGTTGATCCTGTATGGAGTGCAGGGCAGACAAGTGGCTGATAGCCTACAAGCTGAGCCAGGGCCTGGAAAATGGCCAACTGCTTGCTGAAACACTGGCTTTGCAGCCGACATTCCATCACCCCTGTGCCCAGAACTCGGCAGCCTATGGTTTGGCTGGCCCTTCCTTTCTTGAGGTCTTTTTCATCGGTAATGAGGGCTGACTCCACACAGCATCCCTGCAGGGGCTGAGACAGAGCCCAGAGCGGCACCTCACCTGAGTGCCCTTGCTCCTCAGGATCCGGTCCTGATTGTCCCAGGAGCCAGAGAAGAACAGAAGGAGGCCCTTCGGGACCGTGTGCATGGACCACTTCAAGTTGGTGGACAGACACAGACATCCCCACCAGGACAGCTGGTGGTAAAGATGCCCAGGAAGCTGTGCTGCAGCTGGCCCTCACTCCAGAAGCTCAGGGGCTGGCAGGCAGGCTCAAGCGGGATAGAGACACCAGAGCTGTGGCCTTCTCCAACTGGCCCTGCAGCAACAACCTGGACTCTAAGCTGCTTGCGACTTGCTCTCCAAGGGTAAGGGTTCAATGCCTTAACATGGTGTTAAAGAGCACTTGGCCCTGACCTAATAGTAAATATATCATATGGTAGCAATTATTTGTCTACTGGAAGACACATAAGGTGAACTGTAAACAAAGACAAAATAACTGCAGATTATAGCTAGTGCTTTGAGGAAATAGGCAGCATGCCATGGGAGGCATTAGTGAGGGTGGAGGGGCTTCTTTAGGTAGGGGAATTGGAAGGGTCTCTGAAGAAGTGACCTCTTTAGGGCAATGCTTAGAAGACAGAAGACACAGTCTTGGTGACAGCAGAGGAAACACTTTCCAAGTAGAGGGAGCAGCGAGCATGAGTCTCAGAGGTTGAAAAAGGCTTGGCAGCTGTCAGGAACACCAGAAGGCACAGGAGCTGGGAGCTAGGTGGATGAGGGGGATGATGACATGACAGCTCAGAGAGGCCGGCCGGGCCAGAGCACAGATCACGCAGGGCTTGTGGGCATAGAAGGAGCTTGGCTTCTATTTCCAGTGTAGCCCACAGCCACAGTGTTTGTGTAAGTTGTATTGAAGTATATCACACATTCAGGAAAGCACACAAATCCTAAGTGTGCCACACCACAAATTTTCACAATGTGGACATACCTAGGAGACCAAGCCAGGGTAGGAGCAGTGCCTCAGAACCCCCATCTTAGTCCACTTTTTGTTGGAGGCTAAGTATCATAAAGAACAGACACTACCAGGCATGGTGGGACATACCTATAGTCTCAGCTACTTGTGAGACAGTTGCAGAAGGATTGCAAATTCAAGACCAGCCTGGGCAATTTAGCGTGACCCTAGATCAAAATGAACTTTTTAAGAAAAGGTCTGGGACTGTAGCTCAGTGGTAGAGCTTGCCTAGTATGTCTGAGGCCCTGGGTTTAATTTCCAGTACCTTATAAAAAAATTTTTAGCTCACTGTTTTAGAGGCTGAAAGATTAAGATGGGGTGGCCTCATTGATTCAGCCTCTGCTGAGGGTATCCTTAACTCTGTCACATGGCAGATGGCGTCATAGTGGGAGACAGGGAGATCACATGCCAAGGGAGGAAGCCAAAGAGATCGAGGAGGGAGTCAGTCTTCCTCCTTTATGAGCTCTGAGCTTTTTTTTGGTACCAGAGATTGAACCTAGGGACTTTGCACTGAGCTACATCCCCAGCACTTTTTGGGGGTGGAGGGTAAGGGGTGGGCTTGAGACAGGGTCTCACTATGGAGTTCAGGATGGCCTTGAACTCACTAGGTAGCCCAGGCTGACCTCATGCTGGTGGCAATCATCCTGTCCCCACCTCCCAAGTGCTGAGAATACAAGCATGTGCCACCATGCCTGGCTCCCAGCCCTTTTTTATTTTTATTTTTTTGAAACAGGGTCAGAAAGAAAAGAAAAGAAAAGAAAAGAGAGAAAGAAAGAAGGCCTTGCTAAATTGCCCACTCTGGGCTTGAACTTGAAATCTTCCTGCCTCAGCTCCCAGCTCACTGAAGGATCTTAAACATGAAACTGACAAGATTTCATTTCAAACTCACTCCAGTTCCTGCACTACTGGCCTCCCAAAGCTTACACCAGAACTGGACTGGCCTCAACTCTGCCTTGTGCTGCTCCAAGAGAAGTAAGTCCTTATCATAGTCTGCCCTTTCATAGAAATAGTCTGTCCAGCTCCTCACTCCCTCCCAAAGAGGGAACATAGCCCCTCTGCAGGCTCGGTGTCATCCTTGTAGAATGGTCTCAGTCAGTCATACCAAAGCTGCTGTGAAGGTTAACTTAAATGGTAAATGGCAGTGAAAGCCCATGACCCAGTACCCAGCCCTTCTCCCAGACACACCCCACCATCACCACCACCTTTTTGGAGCTGGAAGGGAAAAGAAAATGTGGGCGCCCCCTATGGATAAGGGTGAAGCTGCAGCCCTCTCTCTGGCAGGGCTCCCAAGTGGAGTGTCCTGCTTTGGGGATCAAGGATTCCCTCTCCATAAGCCAGCATAGGCCCAGCCTCCAATGGGAGGGTAGTGCCCATGAGCTGCTCTCAGCTCCAAAGGCCTAGAGTGTAGACAATCCAGAAAGCGCTGCTGCCTTTGAACACTGGCTCTGTTTCTGGGTTTCTCACCTCCTTCCCCACCAGATCCCAGATTCTCCTGAAGGCCTTGCCAGGTGCCCATCTGCTGCTCTCCTAGTCACTGTCCCTACGACACGTGGCACCTACACACACACACACACACACACACACACACACTCAGTTCCTCCTAATGCGTGCTGGGCCTCCTCGCCAGACTGCGCGGGCAGGGAGGGACCTGTCCCCTGTTCCCGGAAGATGGAAGATCGCCCACACCTGGCCCTGTGCCAAGCGCCCGGCGGGGGCGTCATAAATATCTCCTGAATGATTCATTCATTCCTTTGGGAGAGAAAGCTCGACCCTTAAGAGGTTAAGAGGAAGAGCTTTTAAATTACACAGCCCAGCACTCATATTCTGACTCTGACCTTTGGCACTGTGACCTTGGTCGCCTCTTGGCTTGTTTCCTTATATAAAAACTAGAACGGCCACGACCTGATTAGGACAATTTGAGATACTCGGGACCTTGCGCTTTTGAGGCAGGCGGTGGAACCACTGAGCTAAATCCCCGGCCCACAACTCAATTGGGAGGAAGGGTTATTCATTTAGAGAAGGGGATGCCGCCGCCCCCCTCCCCCAGCCGCCTGCAGATCTGAGTCCTTGGAAATGGACAGTATCATATTGGGCCCATTTTACAGATAAAGAAACTTGAGACCTAGAAAAGGAACAGGATAACCTGAGGCGCAGCATGCTGGGGCTAAAAACCAGGCCGGAGGACTCCTGTTCAGAGCCCAGCAGGCCTCTAGGAGCCCCTGAGCTCATTCTCACTCCACCCCATCTCGTCCTAGGGCCTAGAAATGAGGGGCTGGGCTTGGTCTCCGGCGCTCTCACCCTCCCGCCCAGCCCGTCCGCCCGCGAACGTTTGCTCAGACCCGGGCTCAGACCCCAGCAGCGCCCTGCGGCTCTCAGGAGTGGAGAGCGCTCGGGGTTGTCACTTTAAATTAAAGAGGGAGAGCGCGGGCGAGCGGACGAGCGCGAGGGAGCGCGCGGCGGGCTCCTGGGAGCGTGCCCGGACTGCAGCGCAGCTCCTGTCCGCCACCCCGGCCCCTCGGAGCCCCCGACCCGAGCCGCGCTCTTCTGCCTGAAGCGGGCGCCGGGCGACACTGCAGGGGTGGCGTTGCTGCCGCCGGCCAGCTTTGCGCCGGTGCGTGCGCGCTGCAGGAGGCGGGCCGGGAGCCGGGCCGGGAGCCGAGAGCCAGAGCCGGAGACGGAGCTGGAGACGGAGCTGGAGACGGAGCTGGAGACGGAGCCTGAGCCCAAGCCCGAGTCAGAGCGGGGGCCCCTCGGCGAGCCCGGGTGAGTACTCACCGGCCGACCCCGGCGCGCGGCGGGGTACGCTCCCTGCGCGCAGACGCACGCCTCCCCCTCCCCGCGCCCTGGACCTGGGGCCCGCACACTCCGCGCGTCTGCACCCTGGCCGCGCTTGCACACGAACGCCAGGCTCAGCGCACGCCGGGCTCCACTGACCGGCCCAGCCACTCCGCGCACTGCGCATCGCCTCGCGCCCCACACGCCCGCCCGCGTGTGCACACACGCGGCTCAACCCGCTGTTTACACACCTCCCCTGAGCCCGCGCGGTACGCACACCCCTCACTTTCACACTCAGCGCCCTGACTGTCCTCACTACCCCTGCCCTGGCTTCATAACCTCTAGTAGCTCCGGGGTCAGCCCCCTACTCCTGTGCCCGTATGCGGGGAGGGGGCTTCCTCACCAAAATGCCGGGTCTGCAGAACTGTTCTGCTGTCAGGCACGTAGCACCTCATCCCCAGGAGGCCTTGGTTTGTGTGAAGAGCCGGAGAGGACCTTCAACCTCCTCAAGGCTGCAGAGTTGGACAGAACATGGGGGAGGGGAGCAAGGCCTGTGGGTGGAGGGGCCCTGAGCCGACCATCGTGGAAAGCCCTAGCTTCAGAGCAACTGTGGGCCCCCTCCTCAGTCAGTGAGACCACCTCCATGGCAAAGAGCCTGGGAATGCTGCACACTAACTAGAGTGACAGCCTCTTCGAGTGAGCATGGGTGATAGGTTTGGAGAGTGCCAGCAGTAGTACTTCCAATTAGAAATGGAAAATGAGGCCCTAGAAGGGCAGGAGACCCACCCAAATTAATGAGGCCTGTCCAAAGAACAGTCAGGACAAGTATTCAAAGCCCCTGCTTCCTGGCTTGGAAATACAAAACCTTTTCACAGCGCTCGGGATTGTGAGGGTCAGCCTGGACTCTGTCTCCTACAGCTACCTGTGACTATGGCCAAAGCCATTTCCTGGGCCTGGGTTTTCTTAACAGTACAAGGGTCCTCAAAGCAGCAGGGAGCAACAGCAGCCCCTCAAAGGCCTGCAGGGAGGATGCACAGAGGTAACAGGGTAAGTCCTTGGTACAGTGCCTGGCATACAGTAGGTACCCAATGTCAGCCACCACCAAGCCCCACCCAGTCTGTAATGTGGTTTCCGTGGGCTGTTTGGGAAATGACTCCTGGATGCGGTTATCTTGAAAGTGTTGGGGCAGGGAAGGCACTCAAAAGGGTTATCAAACCTAAAAGTCCTAAAAAAAAAAAATCACAGCCTGGAAGACTGCGATTCCCCTGTACCCCTTCCCTCGGCCCCGGTCGTTCTGTTACCTGCTGACCTCAGGGTGGGGGTAGGGGGAGCCAACCACTTGACAGCCAGAGACATGTTGAGGGTACTGAGCAAAGAGATGAGATGGAGTGGGGATGTTCCTCCTCTGACAAGGTGCAAAATTCCTGGAAAGCCATTTTTCTGACAAGCCTAGCAGGGGCCCTCCACCTTGGTCAGATTCCAGCAAAGCCAAGTGGGGTGCTCCCCCACCCACACCTGATCAGAAGTCAGCATGGTGGGCCAGAGCCCAGGCCCAGATCCATCTCGCCCAGGCCCAGATCCATCTCTCCCTGGCACAGAGCCCAGTGTTGCTATTCATATGCTGAGAGCCCCAAGTCCCCAGCTTCTTCATCTGTAGAATGGGGATCCAATAATCCATTCAATCACCAGGTCTGCAGTGGGTGCTTACAATGTACCAGGCTTGGCACTAAGCACTTAGCATATATTGTGTAGAAACAGCAGTAGGAGGTTTTGCTAAATAGGGGCTATTGATTGAGCTGAAAGTTGAACTGGGAGCTGTTTCCAGTGAGCAAGCTCCACACAGTGTAGACCAAAGACTGAAGATAGGTTGGATGGGGTGGGGGGCTGAAGGAGAGGTGCAGTCTTAGCTCAGCTGCAGTGCCTGTGCTGTGTTCCTTCCTGTGTATCACTGGCTGCCCTGGCCTCCAATATGCCTTGTCAGTATCCTGTCCTAGCTGAAGCCACAGCCCCTTGGCCTGAAAGACTTCCAGCAGGACACCAGCAGGAGCCCAGTGAGGTTGCCTGGGCTGGGTGGAGCCAAGGGGTCTTAGGGAGAGGGAGTAAAGCCATTAAGGGCATTTGCTGCAGAGCCAGACCTGGCCCGGTCTCAGCTCCTCACTCAACGCCTGGGTGACCTTGGGCCAATTCACCTTCCTTCTCTTCCTTCTCCTCCACTGAGAGGAGATAATAAGAAATTTGTCCTGGGGGTCTGAGGAATGGTGATGATGATGGTGCATTTGAAGTCCTTGGCTAGGGGCTTTTGCTGCCAGTGGGACAGGTGCTGGATGAGCAATCTTCCTGCCTCAGCTTCCCCAAGTGCCTAGGGTATAGGTGTACACCACCATGCCCAGCTTGGAAATCTGTGTGTGTGTGTGTGTGTGTGTGTTTTGTGGTGCTAGAGATCAAACCTAGAGCCTCACACATCCTAGGCAAATGTTCTACTGAACTACATCCCCAGCCCTTTTATTAAAATCCATTTTAATTGGAAATTTCTCAGTTTATAAATATATCTCACTTAACTGTAAGCAAATAAAACACATCCACTGGCTAGCAGTACTGTCCACATGATTTCACTGCTTAGACCAGGGGCCCTTTTGAGACTATGGTCAAGCCAATAACCACAGCAGCTACTACCTGCCACACTCACCTTCTCCTTCCACCTTCCTTGCACCCTCCCAGACAATCATGAGCCCTTTTCACAGATGGCACAACTGAAGCTCAGGGGGACTAAGAAAATTGCCTTAGGCCATTTGAGACAGCAAAGGGGGAGATCTGGGGTTCAGAGCTGCACACCCTGGGTGTAAGCTGATGTCCCACAGGAGCCTCCACATCTGCCTAGCCTTATCCCTCCACTTAGCCAGATATACTCTGGCTCCTACCTCTCCACAGTGGACCAGAGAGAGAACTTCTGTGTGCAGGTGTGCCTAGCAGACATTCACAGCTTCCCCAGTCACAGCTCCCAGGGGATGGGTGCTGTGATAGGAGTGTGTTTGGGATTCTGGAAAATGTCCCCCCAGAACCAGAGGCGTGGTATAGCCTGAGGTTCTGCCATGTAGAATGCATGCTGTGCCATGGTGAGGTGTGCCTTGCCACATGTCCCTTGCTAGCATGCTGCTGGCATTGGGTGTCTCAGCTTGGCCTCTCTTGCCAAGCCAGTTCGTGCTCAGTAAGCAGGAAAGAATGCTGATGGCATTGCCGGATTTCCAGCAAGGCAGAGGCAGGCTGGGGTGTGTGTTCATGTTGTGTTTCAGTGTGTCCAGACTGGCCACCAGGGGCTAGGGCCACTTTGGGCTTATACACAGTGACTCATTTGACTTGCAATTCTTAAGTAACGTTTTTGAAAACATATGCCCACCTGCAGAAAGACAAAGAAGTTAGGAGCTTGGAGCCAGATGGCCTGGATTGAGCAGTTATTAACCATGTGGCTTGGGGCAAATTACTTTAACTTCACACCCGCACTCTCATCTACAAACCAGACGTCTTAATAGTGCCAACCTCAAAGGATTGTTATGAAGGTTAAATGAGTTCATATATATGCAAAGTCCTTGCAAAGGAGCTTAGTGCATAAGAAGTGCTTGGGGAGGTTGGCTGTTATCGTTATCTCAAGCCTAGGGCCCAAGGATGCACATTCACTCAGGTAAGGATGAATGAAGCATCTCTGGTTTACCCTTGCCTCCCATCACCATGGCAACCTTCAGTCTCATCACAGGAGGGTCAACCTCAGGAGAGCTGGAGCCAGGAGCTGTCTGTGTACCCTTGTCTATCTGCCTTAGGGCTTAATGGCACCTCTATATGGGCTGGATACTAAGTCAGCCACAGATTGGCTAAAGCCACAGATTGGAGAGAACCTCAGAATTCCTAAATGCCCAGTGTCTCAGCTTCGCCCTTTAGCTGATCTCAAACAGAGTCTACAGAGTACTTGGCAAGGTTGGGAACTGATGAGCCCACAGCCCACCAGCCTTTCACAGTGCACCTGAACAGTGTGTGAATTGGTTGCAACATGTAAAAACCAGGAAGCCCAGCACGGCGATGCATGCCTATAGTCCCAACTACTCAGGATGCTGAGGTGGGAGGATCACTCAAGCCCAGGAGTTCAAGACCAGCCTGGGCAACATAGTGAGACCCTATCTCAAAAAATAAATAAATGAGGGCCAGGGATTTAGCTCAGTGGTTCCGGTGCCTGCATTGCAAGTGGAAGGTCCTGAGTTCGATCCCTGGTACCAAAAATAAATAAATAAATAAATAAATAAGAAAAAGAAATAAAAATAAATATTAGGAGAGTCTGAATTTAAAAATCTAAGTGACTGGATGTGATGGTACATGCCTGTAATCCCAGCACTCTGGGAGGCTAAGACAGGAGGATTACAAACTTGAGTCCCAGTCTAGGCAATTTAGAAAGAACCTGTTTTAAAAAAAAAAAAAAAAAGGAAGTCTGGGGATATAGCTCAGGGCAGATACCCTGAGTTCAATCCCCATTACCACCAAAATCAAATCAAATCAAATGAAATCCAAGTACTGGATCTGGCTTTTCTTTAATGAGCCAGAAGATCCAGCTATGCTGGGCTGACATTTTCACTGGAACAGGAAAGCAGCCACCCAGGGTTAAGCAAGCCCTCATAGTTCTTACACATTTCCCTTACCTTCCTGGGCCTGTGGGCCTTTGGAATGTAGGCACCTCTGAACTGCAGGGGAATCCAGAGTTTAGGGTGTGGGTATCCTGGCCTTCTGTGCCCCGAGCGCAGATCTCAATTGGTACAGCTCATCCCTGTCTCCCTTTTCCAGAACTCTCCTCACCTACCCACTTGGAACTCATCTTTGAGCCAGACTGACTTCTTAGCAACAGTAATAATAAAACAGTAAGCAGTTGCCCAGGCTCAGGTAATGTCTTGTATGAGCTCCTAGACCTTTCTAGAAGAACCTAGTCACACCTCAGTGGTTCATAAAACCTGGGTGTGGAGGGTAGTGTGGGGAAGAAACTATCCCAAGCAGGGAAAGGACTGAAAATAGAATATTGGGGAAATGTGGTCTTTTCTTTGCAATTTAAATGGAAGCATTGGAGGTGCAGCCCATGAACACACCAAGGAGCCTGCACTGCTGGGCAGGCAAAAGTCACTGCTCATCAGCCTAGTGGTGTTAGGATGGAGATGAGGAGGGGTTGCCAGATTTAGCAAATACAAATACAGGACATCCACTAACACTAGTGTTTCAGTTAAGCCATGGATATTTTTTAGCATAAGTATGTTCCATGTAATATTTGAGACATACCAATACTAAAAGCTAATCTGGGCATGTATGGTGGCATGCATCTATAGTCCTGGCTACTAAGGAGGCTGAGATAGGAGGATCATTCCAGCCCAGGAATTTGAAACTAGCCTGGGCAACAGAATGAGACCTCATCTCAAAATTAATTAATTAATTTAAATAAAAGCTAATCTGAACTTCTAGTGCCATTGGATATCCTGGTTTGTCTGTCTTGTTCAGCACTGGGGATGGAACCCAGAGCCTTGCACATGTCATGAAGTCATCTTGCCAGTGAGCCATATCCTCAGCCCCAGCATCCTGTGCGTTATCAGGCAACCCTGAAAGGTAGTGTTAAAGTGCTTGGAAAGAGGCCTGAAAACCATTTTTAAAAGTCATTTTTTGAGTAGGGGATTTAGCTCAGTGGCACCGTGCCTGCTTTGCAAGCACAAGGTCCTGAGTTTGATCCCGGTACCAAAAAAAAAATAATTAAAAGTCATTTTTTGAAAACACTCTACTTCAACCAAACTCCCCCTCCAGCTGAGTGTGAACTCCAAGGGACAGGTATGTAGGTACCACAGCGGCAGGACACAGGAGCAGAGCTGGTAACCCTTTGCATCCCTCACCACTGACATTCTTTTCCCTTTCCGCCCCAGCCACCACAGGGGGCACCATGGCTGTGGATGTGGCAGAATACCATCTGAGTGGTGAGTCCCCCATGTGGGCCCCTCTAGGATCATACCTGCAGGTCATAAGGGACCCTTGTGCCACACCTGGGGTGGGAGGTGTCAGTGGGACCTGAGTCAGGGCCTTGTGTTACTGGCAAGAGTAGTCAGTAACTTACCCAAGGTCACACAGCCTTGAGGATGACATGTGGGCACCTGTCTGAGGTTTCCTCACCTTCCTGCCCTAGTGGTTCCTTCCTGTAGAAGCAACTCCCTCTCACTTGAGGGGATCCCCAGGAAGGTCAGTGTTAGATGCATGGACAAGCAACTCAGGGGTCACCTGGCCCAGGGATGGAGAATGCCTGGGGTGCACGTGTCCCCTGATAGAGATCTGGTGCCAACCTTGAGGATGGCCAGGATCTCTAGACATAGTCCCCCATCCCTGCCAGCTAGTGGTGGTTGGCGTCACCCAATGCTCCCCTCCCCATTACAGGCAGAAGCGAGCCTCAGCAAGGCAAGGGACAATAATACCAAATGAGGACTCACTCTCAGGTCTCCCGACTCCCAGGCCAGCACACCCCATCACACCAGCTGCTAACCTAACTCAGCCCTGCACTAGGCCAGGCAGAGAGCTGCAGGATGTGCCAGGATCACCTTTCCCAACCCCTGCTGGCAATCCTTCCTTTTCACCTGCCACTCACAGGTCTTCCCAATTGGACTTGGGCAAGTGATGAAGCTTCTCTGGGCCTCCACTTACTCATCTGTAAAATGGGATCAGGGCTATGGGAGAATTCCTGAGATAACCTGGCACAGTGCCACCATAACTCTCCCTGGACCTGGAGTTCTCCCCGCCTCTCCCTGGCTAAACCCTCAATTCTGGGTTGGAGGTTACCAGTGAATGCATATTGGGAGCCAGACAGTCTGGCAGCAATTCACCCCTCTGCCCCTCAGCTTTCCCATCCGAAAAGTGGGGATAAAAATAGAACCTACCTCAAAGGACTGTTTCAAGGACTCAGTGGGTCAATATATGTGTAGAGCTCAAGCAGGACCTGGCAAATAATAAACAGTAAATGCTTTCTAAGGGGAACTATTATCAGTCCTCCCACTCCTCCTCTCCCTCCTCTTCATTTCTGGTCCTAGCTTCACTTCCTTTGGGAATTCTTCCCATATTGGCCCAAGTCTGACACTCCACAAAATCAGTCAGTAAATGAATATCCATTGTCATTTCATGTCACCTCCCTGGGGCTTTTCTTTTTCTGCCCCAGCCCTACTACCTTACTCTGCTAACCAAGATTTGGGCCTCCGTCCCCTAGCACCTAGGACCTCCAAGGCAGGGGAGTCTGGCTCTGTTTTGCCACTCCAGGGTAGACCTTGGGCCTTGACCTCTGGCCACGCCCCTGCCTAACCCAGTGTGGCCCCTCTGGGACAGGGTGCATGTCACTCTCCAGTCTACCAGGCACTTTCCTATCCCATCCCCCTCCATCAACCATTCGGGGCTTTGTCTTTGTCATGCCTGGGCCTGGAGCCCCCTGTAGATCTCTTGTTTTGTTTAGCCTACAAGCCACATTCTATCCTCAGGAGAGGTCAGGATTCATTAGCTTCCTCACAGTCCCCTCAGCACTATGTATGACCCAATCAGCCTGCTTTCCAAGGACTGCCCAGCCCTTGTCCATTTGCTGTGATTTTTACATCAAATTGTCATGTTGAGGATTGATTTTTTTTTTCCTCTTAACAATGCTGGAAATGTTTCTCCACATTGCCACAGGCCCAACCCAATGACTTCAATTGTCGTTCTTAAAGGCTGGTGACATTCTCCCCCATGACAGCACAGTGCTGTCGGCCCCCACCATCCCCCTTGGTAGGACCTTTAGGCTGTTTCCAGATTTCTTCTGTTATAAATACAGCCTGGATGACTCATACCACACATAAAATTGTTGGGATTTTTCTCCTCAGAATACATTGGTAGGAAGCCAGGTATTGTGGGACTTACCTGCAATCCCAGCGCTTTGGGAGGCTGAGGCAGGAATATGACAAATTTGAACCCAGCTTGGGATATTTAGCAATTCAGCAAGACCCTCTCTCAAAAATAAAAAAATGAAAGAGCCAGGGGTGTAGCTCAATGCAAAGGCCCTGGGTTTATACTCAAAACAAAACAAAACAAATTCACCAATTCACCAGGGTGGGATCACCACACGGGGGATGTTTTTGTCATCATCTCCATTTTCCAGATGAAGAGACTGAGGTCCAGAGAGGCTGGGTGACTTGCCTGGGACCAAGGTCCCTGCACCCTGATCACACTTTGGGTGAATGTTGGGTTGAAGGCTGGGCCTCTCCTGGAGAGAGATTGTGGGTTCTGGCTGGGGATGGTCCTGCTGAAGGGGCTGCCCCACTGCACGATTCTTTCCTGGGTGGTGGGCTTTGGGACAGTGGGGACAAAGAGCCCCTCCAGCCCCTAGTGGCTCTCACTCTCCCTCCCACTAGGCATTCTGCTCACTCTGGGCCCTTTTACCTTCTCCCTTCTGCCTGCCTCCAACTCCCAGCACCCCAACCCCCATCCCCACCCCGGCTGCCTTGGCCAGTAACACTTCTTGCTCACACATTTCTCCTCCTAGAAGCCTTCCTGTGCTACTTCGGGCACAATTCCTAGTACCCTGCTTTGTTTATTTATTTGTCCCCCATCCTCCTTAGACAGTGAGCTACTGAAAGACAGAAACTGGGCCTGGGGCTGACTCACCCAGCCGTGGCTCCCCCTGGCCACAGGGTGCTGGCACACAGTAGGTCCTCAGTGGATGTGCAGTAATAGAGCTCCACCCCTGAAGTGCCCTCCCCACTTCTCTCCGCCTTGCTGCTAGGGAACCAGGCCAGGTCAGTGCTGGGTGGGGCACTGGTTATCCCTGCTTGCTCTGGAGCCTGGCTGCCAGACTTTCTATGCCTCAGTTTCCCCATATGGGTTGAGTATAGAGGCAGTGCTGGGAACTGTATTTGCTACTCATGTGACCTTCTGCCAAATGAATCCCAGCATAGCATGCCTCCCTTTGGAAAGCAGGGCCAGGTTTCCTGCAGAGGGAGGCCAACCACCATCCCAGGTGAGGTCTCTGAACACAGTGGAGAACGAATCACTATATTTGGGGACAGGGAGGTGCAGACAGGGAAAGCTATGCACTTGGCATCTGAGTGTCTGGATTTGTCTCCAAGTCTTGCACAGCCTGTGGCCACCTCTCACTTTAGCCAAGTTGATTTCTTGGTTTGTTTGTTGGTCTTGGGTAAGAGATTTATTGAGAGGTAAGATATACCTACATAAAATTCACCCACTTTTTTTTTTCCAAGCAAAAATTTTATTGGTACATTTTAGATATACATAATGATAACATTCATCCTAAGGAACTTGTACCTGTACATGATATATCTTGCTGCTTCTTTCCCCATTCCCTCCCCCTTAAACCTCTCTTCCCCTCATTTACAAAAGCTTTGTTTCCATTTTTCCTTCTAGTCTCTTATTTTCTCCTTATCCCTTCTTTCCTTTCTCCCTCCCCCCTCCTTGTCCCCCTTCCCATTTGAACATTTTCTTCCCATTTCCCAATATCTTTTATACATTTTCATCCTTATTTCCACCTTTGGTTTCTCACATCAGAGAAACAATGGGGTATTTAAACATATGTGTCCAATTTATCTCACTTAAGAGTGTGGTCTCGGCCGGGGATTTAGCTCAGTGGTTCTGGCACCTGCCTCACAAGTGCAAGGACCCGAGTTCGATCCCTGGTACCAAAAAAAAAAAAAAAAAAAAAAGAATATGGTCTCAAGGTGCATCCATTTAGCTAGAAACGTCTCAAGTTCATCCTTCTTTATGGCAGAGTAGTACTTCATTGTATAAAAAAAACCCCACATCTTCTTTATCCATTTGTTGGTTGATGGGCATTTGGGTTGTTTCCAAGATTTAGCTATTACAAACTGTGCCATTATAAACATGGGTGTGTATATATCACTGTGCTGTGATGCTTTTAATTCTTTCAGGAAGATACCAGGAAGGGGATTAGCTGGGTTGAATGAAACCTCTAGTTTTAGTTTTTTGAGGCCTCTCCACACTGATTTCCACAGTGGTTACACCAGTCTGCACTCCTACCAACAGTGCAGAAGGGTTCCTTTCTCCCTACAGCCCTGCCAGCATTTGTTATTGGTTGATTTCTTGATAACAGCTATTCTTTCTGGAGTGAGATGGAATCTCAGCATTGTTTTTTGTTTTGTTTTGTTTTGGTACCAGGGATCGAACTTGGGTCCTTGTGCTTGCAAGGCAGGCGGCAGAACCAGAGCTAAATCTCTGGCCCAGCATTGTTTTAATTTGCATCTCTTGAATGACCAGTGTTGAAGATTTTTTCATGTATTTATTTGCTTTTCTAATTCTTCATCTGAGAAGTGTCTGTTCATTTCAGGTGCCCATTTTTGGATTGGCTCTTTAAATTTGGGGGGGGGAGTCTTTTTTTTTTTTTTTAGTTCTTTATACATTCTATATATTAGTCCTGAGGAACAACTGGCAAAAAAATTTTTCCCACACTATGGGTTGTCTTTTCACTCTGTTGGTGGTTTCTTTTGCCATGCAAAAGCTTTTTAATAAGATGAGATCCCAGTTGTTGATTCTTTGTGATATTTTCTGTGCAATTGGGGTTTTGTTCATAAAGTCTTTGCCTACACAATGTCTTCAGAAGTTCTACCTATTCTATCTTCCAGCAGATTTAGTTTCTGTTTTAATATTTAGATCCTTGATCCATTTTTATTTCAGTTTAGTGCATAGTGAAAGATATGGGTCTAGTTTTAATCTTCAGCATATGGAAAGGCAATTTTTTCAGCAGCATTTATTAAACAGGCTATCTTTCTTCCAGTGAGGATATTTGGCTCCTTTGTCAAAGATAAGGTGGCTGAGTGTGTTTGGAGTTGTTTCTGCATCTTCTAATCTGTTCCATTGATCCTCAGGTCTGTTTTTTTTGCCAGTATCATGCTGTTTTTATCACAGTAGCTTTGTTATTATGGGGTCACCTTTGTTGCCTAGAATTGTTTTTGCTATTCTAGGTCTCTTCTGGTTCCAAATGAATTTTAGGATTGTTTTCTCTAGTTCTGTGAAATATGTCATTGGTATTTTGATTGGGATTGCATTAAATCTGTATAACAATTTTGGAAGTATGGTCATTCTCACTGTATTGGTTCTTCCTACCCAAGAACAAGGGCTATCTTTCCATTTTCTGATATCCTCCTCAATCTCCTTTTTCAGAGGACAGTAGTCTTCCATGCAAAGGTCTTTTAATGACTTTGTTAGATTGATTCCTGGGTATTTAATTTTTTTGGATACTATTGTGAAGGTGTGGTTTCTCTAATTCCTCTCTCAGTGAGTTTGTTATTTTTGTACTGGAATGCTATTGATTTTTGAGTGTTGACTTTGTATCCAGGTACACTATTGAATTTGGTTATTAAATCTAGAAGTCTTTTGGTGGAGTTTTGGGGGTCTTCTATGTAGAGTATCATGTCATCTGCCAATAATGATAATTTAACTTTTTCCTTTCCCATCCTTACTCCTTTTATTTCTTTCTCTTGTCTAATTGATCTGGCTAATGTTTCTAGAAGTATATTGAACAAGGGTAGTGACTGTGGACATCCTTGTCCTGTTCAATTCACCCACTTTGAAGTACGCAGTTCAATGGTTTTTAGTATACTGTTCAACCAGCTGCACAATCCATTTTTATTTTTTATCACCATAAGAAACCATCCTTCACCCAACTTCCCCCATTTGCAGATTCTAGGCATTCCATTGACAGTGTCCCTCAGGATCTTCAGGGTATTTGTTCCAGGACCCCCAGATACCAAAATCCATAGATGCTTAAGTCTCTTGTATAAAATGGTGTAGCATTTGCTTGTAACCTGTATATCCTGCCATATACCTTACACCACATCTAGATGTTAGCACACCAAATACAATGGAAATGCTATGGAAATAGTTGTCATGCTGTAATGTTAAGGGGGTAATGATAAGGAAATAAGGAAAACAAGCCTGCACATGTTCTGTACAGATACAGCCATGCTAGGCCTGACGACATAGAACCCATCTGGGTTGGATGAATTCGCAGATGCGGAAACCACATACACAGGGGAAGGGCTGATTGTAAATAAAATTAAACAATATGTGGTCTTTGTGTCTGGCTTCTTTCACTCAGCATGATGTTCTCAAAGTTCATCCATGTTATTACACATTATTCCTTCTTATTGGCAGATAACTTGCACTACAGGGATACATACCTTTGGTTTATCTACTCATTAGTGGGTGGATATTGGGTTGTCCTGAAGGCTTAAGGCAAAAATAAGGTCATTTCTTTTTCTCCCCTAAATCTCCATCCTCTTCCCTCACACTCTAAAAGGCTGCTTTGATTATCTGGAAGCAACAGTCCCCTGAATGCTATAAGGTCAGAGAACCAAAGAACCAAGAACAACCCTATTTGCTTATAGCCTAAAGAACACCTAACTATAGTTCACAGCCCTTCGTCTGCTTTGGCCTACTGTCTCCCCAAGTAGAAATGCATGTTTTTGTGGACATAGAAGTAGAAGCAGAAATCACAAGAAAGTGTGTCCTTCAGTCTTGGATCCCCAACACCTAGCACTGAGCGTTGCACATAGTAGGCACTCAATAAAAAGGCATCCTGGGACTGGGGATTTAGGTCAGTGGTTCTGCTGCCTGCCTCGTAAGCACAAGGTCCCAAGTTCGATTCCCAGTACCAAAAAATAAAAATAAAAAGGCATCCTGTGACTAAGTCTGTGCTGAACAACCTGTTCCCTGGGTGGGGGGTCTGTAACCACTGTACCCTGCTAATGAGAGGCTACCCTTGCCTTGCAGTCATCAAGAGCCCCCCTGGTTGGGAGGTGGGTGTCTATGCCGCAGGGGCCCTGGCACTGCTGGGAATCGCAGCTGTGAGCCTGTGGAAGCTCTGGACATCAGGAAGCTTCCCCAGCCCCTCCCCGTTCCCCAATTACGACTACAGGTATCTTCAGCAGAAGTATGGTGAGACCTACCTGGAGGCCAGGCCAAAGGTGAGGGTCCTGCTCCTTCAGGTGCATGCCTAGAGTCCCCACTAACCCCTCCCCCACTCTGGCTCTGTCCTGGTTAATGTCCTCCTATGAATGGGCACCAGACCTCCTTGTCCCCCTCTGATCTCCTATTCCTAGCCCAGTGCCAGGGAGTCAATAGATACTTGTTGAATGAATGAACACTCAGTTTTAAAAACCTGGGCTGGGCCAGGGATTTAGCTCAGTGGTTTCACCGCCTGCTGCACAAACACAAGGACCCGAGTTTGATCCCCGGCACCAAAATAAATAAATAAATAAAAACCTGGACTGGGGATATAGCTCAGTGGTACAGCACCTGCCTGGCAAGCACAAGGTCCTGAATTCAATTGCAAACAAAAAAATAAATAAATAAAAGGGAAACCATCTCCCCAAATACCACCATTACCCAACTGTAAAGTTTTTTTTCTTTTCCTTTCTTTCTTTTCTTTTCTTTTTTTCTCTCTTCAGTACTAGAAATTGAACCCAGGGGTGCGCTATCACTGAGCTACGTCTACAACCCTTTTGTTTTTATTTTGAGACAGCATCTCACTAATTTGCCTAGGCCGAGCTTGAACTTAAGATCCTCCTGCCTCAGCCTCCCAAGTGCTGCAGTTACAAATGTGAGCCGCCAGTGACCCCAGCTCTAAACTGACTTTTTGATATATTTCTTTCCAGTATTTTTAATCTACTCCCTTCCTTTGTTTTCCATGTGTACTTTTTATACAGTGGGTATCACATCTCCATGGGATTTTATACCCTACTCTTTTTACTTCACTTCTAAATGAAGTATTTTCCTCTATGGTTAACAACTGGCATAAACATCATTTTAATGGCTGCCTACAGTTCCTTTTTGTGCGTGTCCCATGATTTACTAAATGACCCTCTGAATAATGCAACAGATAATTTGTATGTGAAACTTTGTCTTCATTTGGGATAATGTACTTTAGATGGGTGCCCAGGTGTGAAATTACTGTATTGGGGGTGCAAACATTTTTAGGGCTATCAATATGTATTGCTGGGTATCTCATTTGCAGAAAATGTTTCAGATATCATATAACATTCCGGAGAGTACAGCATGCATCTGGTACTGAGTTTTTAGTCCCTCAAGCTCACTCATTTAGGGTGCCCAGGGGATCATTCATACTCTTGGGGGATATAGATTGGAAAAACTTTTCCAAAGAGCATTTTGACAACATATCAAAAGCTCTCAGAAGGACTGTCTTCTGAACCAGGAATTTTAAGAAAGCTATTTGATGCTGCATTGTTTATACTTGTTTTGGGGGGTTTTTTGGTACCAGGGATCAAACTCAGGACCTTGCGCTTGTGAGGCAGGCAGCAGAACCACTGAGCTAAATCCCTGGCCCTATTGTTTATATATGTGAAAAAATTAGAAACAACGTAAGTGTCCAACAGTAGGGAAATAGTAAAATAAATTATAGTTACCTGCTTAATGGAAAATTGGGGGCTGTTAAAAATAACAGTAAGGAAGTTATGGAAGATGCTTATGATAAGGGCATTTGCTTTCTCAAATCCCAAGGTTAAGTCAGAGAAAAGTTCAAATATTTGGGTGATTCCCAACATGAAAGCTTTCTTGTGTTGTGAACATTTTTGTAATTTTCCTCTGAGGCTACTCAACCATCTACTGAGTGGCCATCTCCTAATAGTGTAACCCATTCCCCCTCTGCTAGACACTTAGATTGCTAACTGCTTTTCCTTTTCATCATCACTGCAGCCAGGCATGATGGTACATGCCTGTAATTCCACTACTTGGGAGGCTGCAGCAGGAGGATTGCCACAAGTTTGAGGCCAGCCTGGGCTACACAGTGAGTTCAAGGCCAGCCTGAACTACATAGTGACAACTTGTTTCAAAAATGAATTATAAGCATCACTGCAGTTCACATCTTTATTGGTGGAATTCTGTCCCAATAAATAAACATGTTGAAAAAACCTTTTCTTACATTCTGGTTAAGAGAGAAAATGAGGGCTAGGGTTTTAGCTCAGCAGCACTGCACTTGCCTGAGTTTGATCCCTGGTACCAGAAAAAAAGAGAGAAAACGAACAATATAGTTATTGGTAACACAAAATAACATTAAATAAGGACCTTCCTAGCTAAGGAGTGTACTGGTTTTGTAAAAGCGGATCTTGGAGGGACCTTGAATGAGCAGAGTTTATGGTATCTCTTTGCTGGCTCCTAAAGATGGTAATGCATGCCTGTAGTCCCAGCTTTCCTGAAAGCTGAGGCAGGAGGATCACAAGTTCACACCCAGGCTGGGCAATTTAGTGGGAGCCTGTCTTAAAATTTAAAATAGGACTGGGGAATGTACCTCAGTACAAAGGCCCAGTACCTTAAAAACAAAACAGTACCTGGTGGGCCGGGGCTTTACCTCAGTGGTTCTGGTGCCTGCCTCGCAAGCGCAAGGTCCCGAGTTCAATCCCCGGTACCAAAAAAAAAAAAAAAAAAAAAAAGAAAAACAGTACCTGGAGCCCTTGTGATGCTTCCATGTCCCTTTTGCTGACCCCCCAGAGAGCGCCTGCCTGGAATGCCCCTCGGGCCAGCGCTCTGGGGCCACCCAGCCGCAAAGGTAGCCTCAGCATCGAGGACACCTTTGAGAGCATCAGCGAATTGGGGCCACTGGAGCTGATGGGCCGGGAGCTGGACCTGGCCCCCTACGGCACCCTCCGCAAGTCCCAGTCCGCCGACTCCCTGAACTCCATCTCCTCCGTGAGCAACACCTTTGGGCAGGACTTCACGCTGGGCCAGGTGGAGGTGAGCATGGAGTACGACAGCGCCTCCCACACCCTGCATGTGGCCGTGCTGCAGGGCAAGGACCTCCTGGAGCGCGAGGAGGCCAGCTTCGAGTCCTGCTTCATGCGTGTCAGCCTGCTGCCCGAGGAGCAGATCGTGGTCATTTCCCGGGTAAGTGAGGCTGCGGCGGGCAGAGAGCCACCCTGCAGGGCCAGGCGGGATCCCATGGGGGCGCTAGAGAGCAGCCCTGGATGCAGATCCAGAGCAGAAGGTGCTGACAGTCCTGTCCCAAAGACAAAGCCGCATTTTGAGTGCAATCCTTGGCCTTCCTATCACGAGAGTACCGTGTGCCTGCCATAACTGCTCATCTCCACATCTGCCCTCGTGTCACACGGGGGCCTGGCAAGACAGGGATGAGCTGCTCAACTGGCTAACTGGGGAGAGCTTAATGACAGGGCTGTTGACTGTGCTGTGAGTGAGGAGGAGGATGGTACTCTAAACCCCACCCCCCCCACCCCGCTTTTTTTTTTGGTTCTGGGGATGAAACTCAGGACCTTGCACTTGCCAGGCAGGCACTGTACTGCTGAGCTACATCCCCGGCTCTTCTAACCCAATTAATGGGAGGTCTGAAGGAACAAGGTAAAAGAGAGGCTCTGGGCTCTAAAGGACATGGCTCCCTTGATAGGATCTGTGCCCTTTAGTCAAGAGATGTGGTCAGTCCCCAGGAATACTGCAGACAAGGATCTCAGTTTCCCTCTGGTGACCCTGGCATATGACCCTATGGGAAGGCAGAGGCCAAAGGGGCAGGTTGACACAGGAGGTCTGTGTAGGTCAGCCCCTAGGGCCCACAGTAGAGTAAAGAAGGGCAGAGCAGAGGCTTGGTGTGGTGGCACACACCTGTAATCTCAGCACTCTGGAAAGCTGAGGAAGGAAGACTGCAAGTTCCAGCCCCACCTGGGCAATTTAATGACTTAGCAAGACCCTGTCTCAAAATAAAAAGGGCTGAGCATGTAGTTCAATGTGACGGCCCTGGGTTCAGTCCCCAGTACAACAAGAAGAAAAGGGAGGAAAAAGAAGGAAGAAAAGGAGAAGAGGGAAGAAGAAGAAAAAGGGCCAAAGTCCCTGCTCCTTGACAGAGGGAGCCAGGTCAAAATGACCCTTCCTGCCCAGCAGCAGGTGGCTCCATGCTAGCTGGGGTCCATAGCTGGGAGCCCTCTGAGATGGGCAAGGTGGCCACCCAATGACTTCTGGCCAGATGGGAGGAGCCTGAGGACTGAAGGACCAAGTGTTTTCTGACTCTCCCAGGGATTTGTGCCCACCTGTGCCCGGTCACTTTTACCACACTGAATCCCGGCTGCCTGGCCCTGTCATCTCTCTCCCACCCTATTCTGCCCCCATCACTCTAGAATGTCTAGAATTTACACCAGCAGGGGGCACAGAGGGGGGACGGGTGGCCTGGCTTCCTGGAGGCAGTACAGTGCAGGGCAAGGAGTCAAATTGCAGCCTGATTTCTGGGTTCAAATCCTAGTTCCACCACTTCCTACCTGTGTGACCTTGCATAAGCCACATAAGCGCTCAGTGATCTGTCAAATGCGCATCATAGTTATTGGGGGAAGGGATGGGTTAATTCAGGTCAAGTCCTCACTCAACCTACTCCCTGTTCTATATGGCTCTTGGGAAAATAAAGAGCTGCTGTCAAGGCTGATCTGTGCTGCCCATGGCCTGGGCCACCTGAAGGTCTCTGGATCATTCACATGTCCCTTGAGTAGGGACATTGGCAGACAAGAGGCACCACAGCCTGATGTACACTCAGCTGAGCACCTGCCCCACAGAGCCCAGTGCATCCATGATCTCTCATTAGTCCCCTGAGCTCAACAGGATGGACCATTGGAGCAGCTTACAGACGAGGAAACTGAGGCTTAGAAAGTGCTTTGTCCAAGACAGTCCCAGCAAGGGACTCACACCCAGGGTTCCCATTCTCCTTTACCCATGTGCCCATAAAGCACAATGCTCAGGCTCCCAGGTGGCTGGAAGCCTGAGTCCCCATGGACGGGGAACACCCAGGACACTAGTTTGGCCAGGACAGAGATGGGGCCAGAGATCACAAAGAGCCTGAATGCCAAGGTCAGGAGGCCGGAGGAGGGCTTTGTCCCAGGGGCCAAGGGGGTCTGGAAGAGTCTCAATCAGGGGACTATGTGAACAATGTGGCTCCCAAGGGCTACTGTAGGAGGATCCTTACCAGAGCTGGGCAGTGACAGAAGAGTATGGCCAGGGTGGCTGGAGGAGGTAGAGGATTTGTTCCCAGGAAGGCAGGCTTCATAGCACCACAACTCAATCAGTCCCACCAAGTGGGCAGCTGCTGTATGCAGGGCAGCCCCCCCGCTTCGGAGAAGGTGCCAGGGATGAGAACTCCTCTCTTTAAATATCACGGACTGTGACTAAGGCAGCCCCTCCCCAGAGTGGGGAGCAGCGCCCGAAAGTGTGCCTCAGCCAAGGACCTGCCCACAGCTTCCTGGGAGAAGGCCAGTGGCACCCACAAAACAGGACTGAGCTTGGAAACGGAGCCTGCCCACCTTGCCTAGTCACTCCAGCCACCTGTCCGCCCCTCCATCCACCCATCCACCCCACAGTGTTGACATGGGCCTGGGACATGGGCTGGTGACTCCCCAGACAACTGCCCCACCCCACTGCATGCCTGACCCAGGCAGGACTGGAGTGGATGCAAGAGAGACAGAGATCAACACCAGAGTGTTGTGAGGGCTCTGTGGTGCCACAGACACTAAGAAGATTCACTGGGCCCAGATAGTGGGAGCATTGAATGCCATGCCACTATATTGGCCACCACTGAGGAAAGGCCGTGGGACTTTTAAACCTTTAAGACTGAGCCACCAAAGGAAGGCTTGGCATTGAGACTGTGGGGGCAAGACAGGGAGTCTGCCTCAGGTCTCTAGACTCCGTGTCTAGTGCTGTCCCTGCTACGGCCTCCAGGCCCCTGGCTGCTACCTCCTCAGCTTCATGTGCCCTCCATGACCCTTTCTTGCTGCAGATCCAGAGGAATGCCTACTCCATCTTCTTTGATGAGAAGTTCTCCATCCCCCTGGACCCCACAGCCCTGGAGGAGAAGAGCCTGCGGTTCTCCGTGTTCGGCATTGACGAGGATGAGAGGAACATCAGTACAGGGGTGGTGGAGCTAAAGCTTTCCGTGCTGGACCTCCCACTGCAGCCCTTCAGTGGCTGGCTTTACTTACAGGACCAGAACAAGGTAAGTCTGACCTGCTTGTCCACCTCTGGACAGAGCACACACACGTACACTTCCAACTAGGGACTTCATTGTCCTTTCTGCCACAGCCTGACGTCGTTAGGAGAGCAGAGGAGACCTGAGCCACATTTGAGGAAACTACTTACTGTAACCAGTGACAATAAGAACAAAAAAAAAATCCTGACTACTGTTTACAGTCTTTTCCACCAAACTTGCAGAGGCTACACTTACTTCCATTAGGAACACACAGCTCTGGTTCCAAAGCAGACAAGCTTCGGCTTGTCTTTATAAGTGTAAAATGCCAGGGGTACATAATTGTCATTTAAGCAAATGATGTCATTCCATTCTACTTGGATCTCTCTGGACTACTGTCACAGAAAGATTTCTTTGGCCTGGAAGGAGGAAACAAAATTGCATTTGATTGATGTGTTTGACAGGCAACTTCTGAACCCCCTTCCAAGGCAGGGGCCACGCCTGGCTCAAAGGAGGGGTGGTACAATCACGTGTGGCAAGGGGGCGGGACCCCTTTCTCCATCCTGCCAGCCCAGTGCCTGGGTGTAAGGGGTCCCAAGAGCAGCAACTTTTCGATGGAGAGAAAAGTTTCCACTCTTCCCTGGACTTCTGAGGTCCTGGGGACAGAAGCCCTCTGAGCCACACCTGTCCCCCCAGGCTGCTGATGCGGTGGGGGAGATCCTGCTGTCCCTCAGCTACCTGCCCACAGCTGAGCGCCTCACTGTGGTCGTGGTGAAGGCCAAGAATCTCATCTGGACCAATGACAAGACCACAGCAGGTGAGGTCCTGCTGGCTGCCTGGCTCCACCATGTGGCCCAGCCATGTGTCATGGGCACCTGGCCACTTCAGCATGTGTGCGGCACAGGGCCAGGGCCCCCGTGGCTTCAGCTTAGCTCAGGAGCCAGGCATGGCTGGTGGGAAGATTAATCCAGCTGGGGAAACATGGGAACCCTGTTGAGTGCCAGGGGGACCCCATGAGGGCAGAGAGATGGGCAGGTAGCAGTGATGGAGTCTGAGAGCAGGAGGCAGGACTCAGGCTGTTGGGCACTGGGCAAGGAACCAAGGTCAGCACCTGCTTCTCAGAATTGGAGTTCACAATGGACACTCCATTCCCAGAGACACAGGAGAAACCCAGACTTCAAACAGGGACCAGGGCCACCATCTCATATGGTTACTAGGCAGGACCTGTACCCCAGCTCTACAAGAGCCTCCTGTCCCTCCCAAAGCAGGGACCCATGAAGGCAGCTATAATGGGTAGCCAAAGAGGGGACCCCAACCACTGGGAGTTGCAAGCCTAAAGTGGGTATAGTCCAGGTCCAGGCATGTGCAGCAAGAACACCCAGTGGGCAAAAGCTGATGGCCAGACGGTGACTTGGTATTTCGGAGCTGTACACTGTTAGGTCCTGCTGAGGTGGTACTGGGTGACTCATGGCTGACGTCTGTGCTCAGCCATTTATAGAACAGGAAGTGATGGGTCTGCCAAGCTCCGCAGAGCATCACATGAGGGGAATGTGTGGGCTGTGAGGCAGGCTGCCAGTCCAGACCCCAGCCCTTGCCTGACTTGCCTCAAAAGCCTCAGTTTTCTGATCTGTAAAATGGGATTTAAAATACTATAGAGCTGGGTGCCATGGTACTCACCTATGGTCCCAGTTATTCAGGAGGCTAAAGCAGGAGGGTCCTTTGAGCCCAGGGATAGGACCAGCCTGGGCAACACAGTGAGATCCCGTGTCTCTAAACAAACAATAAACAAACAAAATCATGAAGTTCCAATGGCAAAGCTACTGGCAATAGTGAATGAAGGGTTGGGGAGTTGGAACCAAGCAAGTGTGGCACTGGCCCTCACCCCACCCCACCCATCTGCAGACCCCTTCGTCAAGGTGTACCTGCTGCAGGATGGGAGGAAGATGAGCAAAAAGAAGACAGCAGTGAAGAGAGATGATCCCAACCCAGTGTTCAATGAAGCCATGATCTTCTCAGTGCCAGCCATTGTGCTCCAGGTGAGGGGGACAGTGTCACCCTGGACCACTGCACCTCTCTGGCTTTGCTCCTTGGGCTCCTGCCATCACCTTTCTAGTTGAGAAGCATTTATTGAGTACCTGCTGGGTGTCAGCCTTGTGGTGGATGTTGGGGACACGAGCACTTCTTTCTTGGTTCTTACAAGGGACAGGCAGAAAAGTCCCCAGACAATGTTAATCCACTAAAAACATCCCAGACTTTAGCGGGGGGGGGGGGGGCTTCCTACAGGATGGGACAGCTCAGCTAAGCTCTGAGTGAGTGGAGGGACCTGCGGGGCTGGTCATGAGCCAGGAGTAACCCCAGGGCCCAGAGTTCTAGCTCTCAATCTCCTGAGCGTCTACCATAGCAAGCCTCCCCAGCTCTCCACACCCCACAGCTTCCCGAGGACCATGTGCCCCAGGGAGACCCCTCCAAGCAGGAACATCACAGACCACGGTGGGGGAATGTCAAAGACATGGCTTTGGCCACACCAGTGGCCCTGCTTTCATGCCTCAGAAGATGGGAATCTCATCACCTCCTCTCCCTGTCTCATTCTGTCCTTATGCACTCTAGACAGTGAGGAGGTCCTTTATACCTTAGGTCAAAACCTGCCACCATAGCCCTGGAGCTGTACAGAGCTTACCTAATCTCCCTTTCCTGGGATGCCCCACCTTTCAATATGAAAGCCCAGAACTCTGCCTCACACTGGGTATCTCTCATCCAGGCAGACGTCCCAGCTTCTCTACCAGTCCTGGGCATTGTAGCCTTGCCCTGCCACCCTCGTGCGACAGGTTGCCCATCTGACCCTTGTCTTCCCCTGGGTGGTCACTAGGCCACTATTCTAACTGACATAAGGGTTAGTGATAACCAGAGACCCCCATGGTGCCCTGACTGTGGGCAGACATCATCCCACACATTTAACCCATTCATTCTTGGAACAGCCCTCTGAGGTAGGGACTACTGTCACATTTTACGATGGGGACACAGGCAGCAAGAGCCCAAGTTGCTGCCCAAGGTCACATAGCAAAGAATGCTGAGGTTGGCATTTGAACCCTGCTAGTCTGGTGCCACCACTATCTGGAAGCCAAGCAGATCTAGGGCAAATCCTTGTCTGCCATGTTTTTGCCAGGTGACCTTGGACATGTCTTCTCATGTCCCAGATGAGGGAGTGGATTCAGGGAGCTTTCCTTGGCACCCCATGAGCCAGGCATTTATAGGCTGGGACCTAGGAGCCAAGGAGGACCTCTGGCAGTTCTTGGCCCTCACCACCTATGTTCTCTCCTCCCCAGGACCTGTCTCTCCGTGTGACAGTAGCTGAGAGCAGCAGTGACAGCCGTGGGGACAACGTGGGCCATGTCATCATTGGGCCAGCAGCCAGCGGCATGGGTACCACACACTGGAATCAGATGCTGGCCACACTGCGCAGGCCTGTGTCCATGTGGCACCCTGTCCGGCGAAACTAGCAAGCAGGGCAGGCCAGGTGGGGAGCAGAGCCACTGGGGCCTGCCACAAACTCAGCTCTGTCCAATGCCCTCTTCATAGCCCAGCTGGAGCTGTGAACACTGAGGTTTCTGGGTGGAGTCCCTATCAGTCTTCTTGGACCCTCTGCCCAGACTACAGTGGAGGAACAGGTATACCTCTACATCTAGGAAGCCAGGGTTTTCTACTGAGGACCACTTCTGACTGGGCCAGGACCCATGGAAGGCAGCAGATGCTGGGCACTTGTGTACCATCTGGAGGTTCTCACAAGGTTCGTCCCTTGGCCTGCAGGGACACTTGGGCTCTCAGAGCCGGCAAGCTCCCCTACCCCACTCCTGGGAAGCCAGCTGTCAGGCTGAGCCATGCATCAGAACAGGAATTCTTGGGCCAGCACTGTGGTAGGCACTGGCAGGGCTCTCAAGAACAAAATGAAGCCTGCAGGTCACCAGGAAGTCAGGACTCCATCACCCAGGGAATCTGCTCAGTGCTGAAGGACAGGCCAGCCACGCAGACTCAGGGTAGGATCTGAGAGCTGGGGATCAGGGAGGGCCCCACAGACAGGAAGGAACTGTATTCTTCGGGGTAGGGTGGCCGGGGCACAGCTCAAGCAGTGGCAGAAATGTGAACTTTTGAACTTGCTGACATAAGCACAGTCCTCAGCTCACTCCAGTGGGGACAAGAGCCTCTCTCTGGGCTGGGGAAGAAGACTACAGGCCACATCAAGGCTCCATGGTTACTGCCCACAAAGTCTGTTCCTGGATCATCAACTGTCACAAGAACCAGAATTGCAGAGGCCCAGAGCAAGGTCCTTGTGCATGGTCTGTGCAAAATCAGCCCCCGCTCCACCCTGCCAGGCTCTGGTGGGAACCCCCAGGACACTGGGCATCCTGGGTCAAGTGACTTCAGCAGATGTTCAGCCTCAGCCTGAAGGCAATAGGGAGCTCTAGAGGGGAGAATGGCAGGTGGTCCTGCCCAGAAGCACAGAAGCTGGACTAGTACATCAGTCTTTGGGTTCTGGGCCTGCTCCAGGTAGAGTGAAGTTGTCATAGCCCTGCAGGTGTCACCAGATGAGGAGCAGCTGTCATATACCAAAGGCAGACCCAGAGAAGCAGCAGTTTCCTGCTCTTACTGAAGAGGGCCGGAGCATCTTCCGGGTTAAAGGGATGGAGAGGGCAGGGGTGGGATGTACAGCAGCAGTATCTGCTTTGCAGTATCTTACCCACAGGTAAGATGGGGAATCTCATGCTAGCTGCCCTTATTCCTTAGCCCTGGTGAGCTGTGGAGACCCAGGTCCAACCAGTTGTCACTGACAGCATGGGGAGAGATGGCTTGAGCAGGTGTCCAGAAGGGTTATGGGACTGGACTAGAACTCCCTGACACAACCAGGAGGTCAGCACAGGGACATGCATGGCTTGTGAGCCCTTGCTGCCCAGGAGACCCCAGACCCTTTTGAACCCTGGGGCTGTGCAGGGCAGGCTGTGTCCTCCCACCTTCTCTTCCCTCATTTCCTCCCCCTAACTGCATGAAATGGTGACCATGGAGCCAGGGTGGCTGTGATGGGGACTTTGAATGCTGACTAGAATGATTCTAGAACCAAAATAAAGCTGGGGCAGGAAGGGGGCTTCTAGGGAGCCCTGCTCAGTCCCAATCATCTTTGTCTCTTCTCCAAAAGCAGGGTCTCAGGCCCCATGGGGGTGACTGCATGCCCTCCTTCCCTGAAGCCCCTGCCTGGCTGGGAAGACCAGCACAATGTCATCAGGATCCCTGGGAAGCTCCCTGGGCCACCCCTGGGAGGTAACGATGGTGATGGGGAAATTATGGAAGACTGCCTGCTGGTGCACTCAGCTGAGTCTTCAGGAAAAGAAGGGACATATCAGGTGGCTAAAGCAGGAGAAGATTCCTGGCAGAAAGAAGAGTACATATCAAAGGGCGGGGCTGAGCAAAACCTGGGCCCATGTACCCACCTTGCTAGAGCAAGGGAAGGAAAGAATGGAGCCAGGGGATGGGTCCCGAAGAAAAAGGGGCCTTGTTGGTGCCCAGCCCATGACCCTGCTTTAGAGCAGGTAGATGCTGCTATCACATCCCCTTCCCACAGATGTGGAAACAAACTCAGAGAAGTTAGGTGACTGGCCCAAGATCACACAGCCAGAAAGTCCCAGAGCAGTGATTCAAGTTCAGCCTGGCTGACTATAGAGACTGTGCTCTTGACCACTAGATAACATGGCCCCTTTCCTCGACTCCTCAAAGGTAGGGCTCAGGGGCAGCAGAGAAACCCTTTGGGATTCTAGTGTGTTCTGGCTTCTCCTTTCCTCGCCTCCCCTGGAAAATCAGACATGAACATGGATGAAGAGAGTTCCTGGGAGGCTGACTGTGAAGAGCTCCGGGGAACCCCACACATGCCTGGACAGACGGGGAACTGACTAGGCAGCTATCACGGAGCCGGTGAGCAGGGCAGAGACCAGAAGCTTCCTGGAGCAGGCAGGGGCATTAGCAACAGCCTCACAGTGCCTGAGTGGAGGTCTCACCTGTGTCTGAGCAGACACAGCTGGACTGAGGCTCAAGAGACTGGGGGAGAGGCTCCATGAGGGCTTCTGGCATCCCAGGTGAAAGAAGGTTCTGGTCCTACTGAGAGCAGGGAGCCATGAAGGGCTCTGGCCGGGAGCAGGTCCCAAGAGGGTGAGGATCACTCCAAGGAACTTTAGAGGGGACACAGAGGACCATCGGCAAGCATTGCTCCTGGTCCGAAAGGGGCAGGCCAGGAAGGCAGGTGGCCTCTGAGAGACTTTTAGGTTGGGGGGAGCTCAGCAAGACTCCCACAGAGGTGCCTTTGGGATAGGAGCAGGGCTACCAAAGCTGGGAGCTTTTTTCCCATCTCCTAACCCCATCTATTTCTATCCTCTTCTGACCCCAAAACCTCCTCCCCTTTCCTCCACTACTCTCCTAGCCCAGGGCCTCCAGGGTCCCACGCTCCACTGTCTGGAAGCGCCACCCAAAAAGACAGATGTGTAAGTCACTGGCCCACCCAGTGCCGTTGCCTGGGCCAGGCAAGATGTTGCCACTGTGGCACTGCAGCCGCTCCTCTCCCCATCTGTTACCCTTATCTGTGCCTGCAGACACCCCAAGGGACAGGTCAGTTAAAGGCTAAGCAAGCACTGAGACCAGGCCTCTCTCTTTCTCTGCCTGACTACTGGCCTGGCTGGCCCACCCAAGAAGGCCGATGCTGGCAGTGCAGCAGGTGCAGCTGTCTGGGAGAAAAGGAGCCTGTGGGTTCTGCCTGGCATAGACCTGGGTCTGCAGCTTACATGCTGTGTGACAAATTCCTTCCTTTCTCAGGGCCTCAGTTTCCCCATCTGGAGAGTGAGGGGTTGGACAAGATGGCCAACAATGGCCTCACATCTTTGACTTTTGGGGGTTCTGTGGGCTCTGGAACCCAACTGCCTGGGTTCAAGGCCCAGTTTGCTCACTCACCAGCCATGGGATCTTGAACACATTATGTATCCTCTTTGGGCCTCCTTTTCCTCGTTTGTCAAAGGAGTGTTGTACACACCTCATGAGATGGAATGAATGACATGTGCCAAGTGTCCAGCACACAATAGGCACTCAGTAAATGTGAGGCCAAGACTTGGCAGAACGACACTCCAGGGCCCATGTGCCCTACCATGGCATCCCAAGGGCCAGAACCAGATCTCTGAGGTTCTGGCTCCTTGGCATGTACTTTCCCCTCATTCACCCTCCTGCAACCCTAACCCTAATCCCACATCCCAAAGCTAGGAACCTCAGGCAGAGCAAACAGGCTAGGTGACAACAGTCCAGAGAGCAGAGAGGCCACACGGGGGCAGCAGACAATAAACCCCACAATCTGGGACTCCGGGCCTCAGGGGAGGGGGAAGGTGTCTGAAAATGGGACAGAGGGGCCAAGTGGAGGCTGGAAATAGGCACTTGTCTGTAGACTCCCCCCCCACGCACACTAATCATGGATGATCCTTGCAAGCATTTCTTCCTTCACTCATTTCTTGAATTTCTTTTGAGCCAGTCCATCTTCCTTCTTTCCTTCCTTCTTTTTCTTCCTTCCTCCTCTCTTTCCCACTTGTCCTTTTCCCTCCCTTCCCTTGCTTGACCAGCCAGGCAGTCAACTAGACATAATATCCTGAGCCACCAGGAAGTGTCAGCTGTGGTCTCTGCCCTGGAGGAGGTCACAGCCTGGCGGGGGGCTGAGAGATACTGTCTGGTACAAGCGTCCCAGGGAGGAGACAAGCCAGAGTAAGGACTGGTCACCTCTGCTGTTCTGGGGTCTACATGTCAGTCACTCACTGTAAGGAAGGACTCTGGGCTTGGGATTGAGCGGGGGTGAGGGGAGGCTGAGGAGACTGAGTCACCCACAGGCCGGAAATCAGCAGCAGCCACAATAAACAGTAAAATAGCCTGTGGTACCCTGGCTAGGCAGACTGTGACCCGAGCCACCTCCTCACTCCAAAATTAAACTCCAGGAAAACAGTGCAGTCCTGAGCCCAACATGTCTGAGAGTTGGGGAAATTCCCTGCCAACCAGGCCAATGGTCATGGCCCAGTGACTACTCGGCCTCCTCTGGAAGCATGAGCATTGGATGGAAGTAAGACCGAGCTTTAACTCAGGGAACGGATCCTGGCTCTGCAGCTTGTATACCTGAGATAAGCAGTGCCTCTCTGAGGCTCAGCTCCCAAATATATAAAATGAGAGGCAGGCACCAGATGGTCTGCTCGGCCCACCTCACCATCCAGGTGCTAAATCCCATAATGCATATGGTGTGCTGTTGGGGGAGATTCCAACTTTGGGGTAACATTGGGGTCCAAATTCCAATTTGGCCTCTTATTAGGTGTGAAGCTTAGAAAAGAACCTAACCTCTCTGAGCCCCAACTTCCTCATCTGTAAAATGGGGCTAACAATTCCTACCTCCTAGGGGACAGGGCCTGCACATGGTTTGCAACCCACTAATGGTTGCTGTTATTATTAGGAAATGTTCAGAGAAACTGTAATGCTGGACAGCCGTCAAGTGTGTCATTAGAGTGATTATCACTATAGCAACCAAGGACAACTGCCTCTGCCTGACTCTGAGCTCCCTCCACTCTTGGTCTGGCCCCACCTTGCCTGACAACAGCAGCAGTGGGAAGCAGAGGGGATGACAAGGCTGGCAGCTGATCTCAGGGGACAGGACCCATTCCTCACCATTCCTTGGGGCGGGAGCTCCACTCAGGAGTTACACACCTAACCTGGTACCAACTCACTCCCCAGCCCTAGAGCAGTTTCGAGGAGAAAAGGGTGGAGTCTTCCTCCCTCCAGGTGAGGCCTCATCTAGTCTGCTGACCACAGCCCGGTGGTCAGGTGAGCCAGGCACAGGAATTGGGGAGCTGGACACTGCCTCTCCCTGCTCTAGGGACAGTGACTTCTGCCCAGGCTGCCTCTTTGGGCCACAGTGAAATTCAAAGGGGGCTAAAACGATATAGTGGCACACACCCATGATCCTAGCACTCTAGGAAGCTGAGCCGGGAGGATCACAAATTCGAGCCCAGCCTGGGCAACTTGGCAACTTAGGGAAACCCTGTTTCAAAATAAGAAATGAAAATGGGGGGAGGGGGGATTTACCTCAGTGGTTCTGCCGCCTGCCTCCCGAGCACAAGGTCCTGAGTTCCATCCCCAGTACCAAAACAAAAAGAAAAGAAAATGGAGGTATGTGATTCGATGGAGGTATGTGGTTCAATCCCCAGTATCAAAAACAACATCAAAGTGGGCTAAAGGTAATTTTCAACTGCCTGACACTGATTTCCAGGGGGGATGATGTCATGACCAATGTGGGGTTGAAAGTGAAATCCTGTTTCTTTAAGTTTAGTGGAATTACCTGGTTCAAGCTCTAGGGCAGTGATGGAGAACAAACTGCAACCCAAAACCCACTTATTTATTGCAAAGTACCAACAATTAAACCTGAAGTTTTAGTTAAGAAAAAACAATTCATACATTAACATTTTTTGTCTTAAAAGAAAAACAGAATAACACGTGTGCCATGGGTTCATCACCACTGCTCTAGGCTGACACGGTGCCCATTTTAAAAAGATTTAAACTGGCCACTGAGGGAGAGAGTGGCGAAGTGACAACAAGTTTTCAGATGGATACTGGATTTATTCCTGGCAGCCACTCCCCAACCAAGCCTTGCCCTCTGCCTGCCACAGGGAAGGATGGAAGCAGGAGATCCACTCGCTCTGGCCCCTATATCCTTGTAACCTTCCCTCCTTTGGAACATCCTTTCCCCCTCTATCTACGGTGTGATTTTGCCCCCAAGACTCTGGGCTCCTAGGTCAGAAGGATTTCCTGACTCCCAAACCAGAGTAAAGAGTCCTTTTTTCCTACTCTTGTCCCACTGACTGTTTCTATGCCCAGATACCTCACCTCTGATGTCCTGCCGGGCTCACATCCTAGGCTATGAGCTTCCCAAGGCAGGGACTTCCTCTTGAACGATTCAGGGTCCTTGGGCCCTTGGAAACTGGAGGATCATCTCTGTTGATTAAATTCTAACAATGACCCATGGCACCAACCATATGCTGGGCCCTGGCCTAAGCACTTTATAGATGGAAGGTTCCATCAATGACTTTACATCACACACCAGTCAGGGTGGCACAAGTGGTCACCCACCTGCAGCCAAGCTCCCTGGTGCTGGTTGAAGAGAGCAGGGCAGGCCTGGCAGTGTGAACCACTGACCCACACGGACATATCCAGCCACCCCTACCCACCTGGCCTGAAACACCTGGGCCCCGGGAATCCACATTCCTTCCGCAAAAGTCACCACCCTTAGTGCCATCTCCTTCCTCCCACAGAAAGTAGGCCGGGTGCCTCCTCCTCCCCTGTCTGCACCCACCCCATGATCACTGTCAGCTACGAGCCCAGAGTGCCCTCTTGAGGGCATAGGTCCCTCCTGTGTCTCAGCGCCCGCACACGGTGCTCAACCCGTGTTCCCAGAGCAGCTGAATGGGACGAAGGAAAGCGCCCCAGCCAGCCCTGCAGTCCTCGCCACCGCCGCGCCCTCGTCCGCACTGAAACCGCTCACCTGGGCTGGAGACCGCGCCACCCACCCGGGGACCGCTGCCACCACGGGCCGCAGGGCTCGCACTTCCTCCCGCCGCCCCGCCCCTTCCACATTCCTGCCTCGCTGGGCCTGCCCCGAGCCCGTCTGGCTCTGCGCGCAGCCCGCCGCCGCTCCGCAGCTCAGCTCCGCTCTGGCCCTCTCTCCGCCCGGTATGAAGGCGGCCCAAGCCGCGGGCGAGGAGGCGCCGGGCAGTGCACGGTCCGTCAAGGTGGTCCTGGTGGGCGACGGCGGCTGCGGGAAGACGTCGCTGCTGATGGTCTTCGCCGACGGGGCCTTCCCCGAGGTAAGTGCTGCGTCCACGGCCTTACTGTCCCCGGCCCTGGCGCCCCAGTATGTCCTGTCTGCACACAGCTGCCACGGGTATACGCAGCCCCGGACTCCCAAAGGGTCCCTCAGGAGGGCCTAGTGTTAAGGGCAGAGTTCTTCCCACTCTGCCATTGGGGGGGGGGCGGCGGGGCGGGGCAGTGATGTTATCTGTAAAGTGGGATGAATGGCACCTTCCTGGGAGGCACAGGGACTGAATCAGGCCATCTGGGTACAGCAGGACCTGAGAGAACACTTGGCCCAGCTTGGCTAAAAGAAAGATTACTTTGGAGCCAGACTGGCAAGTTTCAAATCATGTGTTTGCCACTTACAGCTGTGTGCCCTTGGGCAAATGCTTTACCCTCTCTGTGCCCTTTCCTTAAATGCATAATAGGAATAATGCTAGCACCCACCTGAGTTAATAAGGGAGGGAGTTAATAAAGGTCAAGTCAGCTCCAAGCCTGCACACAAGAAAGACTCACAGAAAGTTGGCAAATGTCCTTCTTGGGACATCTCCTCGCTAGCCCTTGCCACTACAGTGCCCACCCCAGGGCTCCACCTTGGAGGGGAAGAGCCTACCAGCTCTGGAGTTGGACATTTGGGTTGGCACCTCAGCTTTTCTACTGAATCCAGTGCCCCTTAGTGACTCGCTTAGCCCCTCTGAGCCTGAGTTTCCTCACTGCTGCACCATGGGGTAGAAGTAATGGATGGTTGACAGGTGCTGGGGCACCTGGTGGATCATGGGTGCTCTGGGCCTGTCAAGAGTCAGTCCTTCCCCACCATGCTAACAACTGTCCAGGCAGACTCAGCGGCCACCAAGTCCCTGGCCAGGGGCAGGGGCTAGAGCTGCCTGCTGTGCCTCTTTGGGCCCCAGCAAGGAGTAGGAGTGCTGGGACCCTGTAAGTTTGAGTTTTCTCTTCCTCCTTTCCTTGGAATATTTTTTTTTCGGTACAGGGAATCGAACTCAGGACCTTGAACTTGCCAAGCAGGCATGGTGCCACTGAGCTACATCCCAGGCCCTCTTCCTCCTTTCCTATCCCAGTGCCCTCCTATCGCTGGAGTGGTGCAGGCACTGGGGTCTGATGAAAGGCAGGAGAGGCTGGGCCTACAAACAGCACTGGGCCTACTTTCCACTGTGGCAGCACCAAGCTACTTTTGTGGTTTATGGGGCTGACGTCACCTCCTTTGGACAGTTACATGGATTTTTAAGTTGGGGGGACATGTTTTCAGGCCCCTAGATACCGCCTATGGGAACCCAATCATTATGGCACTCTGGTCAACCATTACGGTACAGTTAGGAGGACCCAGGGGAGGGCATCTGGAATACTGAGGGAGGGGACGCCTCTCACCACCAACATCCTGAATCAGATGCTTTTGATGGTAACACTGTTGGTGGCGGTAACCGCCCCGATTTCAGAGTGGTTACCATGTTGAAATGGGCACCTTGCAGCCCTCAAACTGTGTATCTCTTGAAGGAGATGCAGAGGTGGCCAGGGGACAGGAGAGCATGTTTGTCACCGCGGGGATGGACACTCTTTGTCAGGGTTCTTTCTGTCTGGGAAACTTGGGTCACCTGGTGCAAAGAGATGCGTCTTCTTTTAAAGCACCGCAAGATTAAAAAACTGGACAGGCTTCATCTTACAGATGTGAACACTGAGGCCAGAGAGGCAGAGTCCTGTGTGGTGGCCCATGGCCCTGCTATGGCCTCCCTGGCCCTGGCCACAGTCCCCAGTGCTGTGCATGCTGGACTTAGTCTCCCCTTCCCTGCCCCCAGCCTCTTCCTCCAGGCTTTCTGCCTGTAGCAGAGGGCAGAAAGTAAGCTGTGGCCCAACCTCGGGTTCAAGGGGGAGAAAGTGAAGTGGAGAGAGGCCAGGGTGGGACCTCAGGGCTGAATGACAGCCCCTTGCCCAGTCCTGACTGGCATTTGGAACCATGAGCATTCCCATGGGGCCAAAACCCAGTGGCCCCCACTGAGGTGAGGAGGGAGGCTGCAGGGAGCACCTGCCTCTGAACAAGCTGCGACCTTCCAGGTCTGCATTCAGTGTCCTACTTGGGAAACCCAAACACACTCTCCTGAACTACGTCCTCATCCCATCTGCCTGGAAGTCGAATGAGCGCAGGTCTGGGGCTGAATCACCTCTGCCCTGGCCCAGCACAGGCTGAGCCCTGGCTTTCTGGCTGAGAAGGCTCAGTAGATAAGATTAGGCACTTACTGGTCCCCTGAGCAGAGAATGGCCCTCCCTGAAGTTCAAAGAGCACAACAAAGGATATAGACAGTCTCCAGGATCACATTCCAGAGAGAGGGAAGGGCGGTCACAGTTATAAATCAAAGGAGCAACATAGCCCCTTCCCTGAGTATTGGAGACCTCAGGAGAGGCAAGTGGCTAGGAACACAGCCTGGCCTCTGGAGCCAGACAGATGGCTCCGTCATTAACCAGGTGTCTAATGTGTCACCTTGGGCAAATCACTTCTCTTCTGTGGGCCTTACTGGAAAAACGAAGATTGCATTGAGTTTCCAAGTTTGCAAAGATAGGAGATGGTACAGTGAAGGGCTGTGGAGAGTGGTGGCCGATGGAGTGGTTGCCAGGGGCATTTGAAAAGCACTGGCATGAGTCTCTCAGAGCTTCCCTGCAGCACCATCAGGAGACCCTGCAACTGGTGACTGGGTGGCCATTCTGGGAGCTCAGAGGCACCATCCGTGCTTCCACAAGGGCAGGCTGATGGCAGACTCCCTGGCCCAACTCAGGATGGAGAGGGGTTCGGGAAGACAGCACCACATGGAAGGACACTGGTGGGGACACTGCCCCTGGCAGCCAGCTGAACAGTGAGCATTTATGCTGGGGCCTCACCCGTCAGTCCATCCTCCCTACAACACCATGACAGCCCAGTGACAGGACTGGTTAAAGCCACATGGGCCCATCTGATCCCAAAGGCAGTGCTCCTAGCTGCCAAGTCACATTGCACCAAGAGGCAAAGGGTCTGAGGGGAAGGGCAAAGCTTCAAGATGGGGAGGTAGGTGGAGCCCTTGTCTATTCCTATCAGTTTCTGCTGGTAGAAGGAAGAACAAGATGGCAGCTCCAGGACTTCGCCAACTTCCCCAGCTGCCTGCTATGGGGCCTGCCCTCCCTGCCCCTACTGCACCCTCCCAGGTGGCCTGGAGGACAGCACTGACCTACTGCCAACACACTGCTCCTCCCAGCTGACCAGGGCCTGACTCAGAGGGCCATAAAGTCCTCCTGCGTCACAGGCAGGTGGGGGCCCTACCTGGCAAGGGATGGGAGGCAGATGGGGCCCTCAGACTGTGGCCCCACCAATCAGCCCTGAGCATGTGATCAGGGCCTAGGGCCCCCAAATGCAGCGGATCTAGCATGCCCCTCAGGCCACAAGGCTCGCTTTATGGCAGTGTTGAAGTCTCCTCACCTATTGCCCAGGCCCCATTTTGTAAAACCTTCCTCTTTTTTGGATACTGGGAACTCAAGACCTTGCGCTTGTGAGGCAGGCGCAGTGCCACAAAACCTCCTTCTTCGTCCCTGCATGTTTGTCTGTGTACAAAACCTGTCCTGTTTCCTGTTCATTCAGCCTTCATGGAAAGAGAACTGCAGAGTTCAGGCAGAGCTGGAGAAGAGGGGCCTTTGTCTGCTCCTGGGAAGCAGGAGCATGGAATGTTGGGGAAGAACACCAGGAGAGCCAGTTTGGGGAAGGTCGCATTGGACAGGGGTCTAGTTTGGTTTTCAAGAAATTGAGAGGCACAGGAGGGACCCAAAAAGCTGAATGTTCCCCAAGGCAGGGGCTGGTCTCATTCATTGAATGCCCCTTAGTGTCTAGAACTGGGCCTAGAGAAGATGCTGATGTTTGCCGAATGGATATGTTATGAAAGAAAGAAGGAACAGGGGCCGGGGATTTAGCTCGGTGGTTCCACTGCCTGCTTTGCAACCGTAAGGTCCCGAATTTGATCCCCTGTACAAAAAAAAGAAAGAAGGAACAGAGGAACAACTGAAGGATAATGTCCTTCGAGGAGGAGGAGGAGGTAGATGAATGAAGGCTCAGAAATGGGAGTCCCAGTTATAAGCACAGTGGCGTACATCTTTAGTCCTAGCTACTTGAGAGGCTGAGGAAAGAGGACTGAATGTTCCAGGCCAGCCTGGGCAACTTAATGACACCTGTCTCAAAATAAAATTTAGTCTGGGGATGTGGCTCAGTAATAGAGCACGCCTGGGTTCAATTCCCAGTAACATGGATCAGGGAGGACAGAAAAGAAGAGAGGAAGGGGTCTCCTGTCCAGAAGGACAAAGCTAATGCCAACAGCTAGCATATACAGAGTGCCTGTTTTGTACCAGGCCCTGTATAGGGGTCTACATGGAACATCTCATTGGCTCCTTATAGCAAAACTCCATGCAAGGACTCGAACTCATAGGGATCCTCCTGTCTCAGCTTCCCAAGTGCTGGGATTGCAGGCATTCGACACCATGCCTGGCATAACCTCCTCTTATAACCCAGGAGAACACACTGTAATCCACTGGGCACTAGGCCTCCCCCGAGGCTGGCCACCTAGGAACCATCCTGGAAACAATTGCACCAGTGCCTCCCAAGCCGGAGGCAGTGCTATGGGCCTTCCTCACAGAAGATTCCTCACAGCCTCCCCTTTCCTCTTCTTCCTCAGACCTACAGTCCCACAGTGTTTGAGCGGCATGGGGTCAATCTGCAAATGAAGGGCAAATCTGTGCACCTCCAAATCTGGGACACAGCAGGTGAGTGTGTGGGGACTATGGAATGGGCGAGGTAGAAAAGGCTCAGCCCTGCTCCTTCCAAGCCAGGTGTTGGCCAGCACTGGGGCCTCCCTATCCCACAGCAGACCCGAGTCCTGGAGCCTGGTACTTTTAAGGGCCTCCCAAGCTTTCCACACTGGCTTTAGCATCCCTAAGCCTTGCCTGACTGTGACCTCTGCCTGCTAGCCTCCTGACCTTGCCCATACAAGACTTAGCTCGAAGCTAAAGTCAGGGAGTCCCAGTCCCTCCATGCTGCCCCTGGCCTGGCCTCTGTCTTGCCTCCACTCCTTCCAGAACAAGACTTCTCTGTACATGGTCACCCCAGGCCAGGGCTGGCACATCCCATGAGCAGGCCAGGTTAGCACCGCTTCAAAGGGACATTCACACAAGGCCCAAAACTAGCCCCCACCCTCCAGAAGCCCCTGTCTGCTGGCATGGGCTCCCCACTATTAGGGAAGTGCTGACAGCAGGCAGGGGATATGGAGAGAGTGACCACACACTCCTCCTAGGGCAAGATGACTATGATCGCCTTCGACCTCTGTTCTACCCTGATGCCAGCGTCCTGCTCCTCTGCTTCGATGTCACCAGCCCAAACAGCTTTGAAAACATCTTCAACCGGGTAGGTACTAGGACACGGGGAGGCATGGCCCCCATAGCCAGGCCATTTTGCGCCCTACCCTGGCAGGCCTTAAATGACATTAAGTCTAGTGTCTTTGGTACATTTATGAGGCAACTGAGGCTCAGAGGGGGCAATGACTTGCCCAAGGTCACACAGGAATTTAGTGGCAGGGTGTGCCCTCTGACTTCGAGTCCAGTGTTCCTTGCCTGCCCTCTACTGCTGACAGACCACTGTGGCTCTTTCCACTGGGACTTACATGTGAATGCTGGGTGACCCAGAGTCCCCTGTGTTTCCCCAGCCTGTGGCTGCCCAAGGTTGCTGGAGCTATAGAGTCAGATCTCAGCAGCTCGCAGCAGCCTCCCTCCCATCCACTTGACTGCTGGCTCTCAGTTGCCTCCAAGCTGCGCCCAGTGATGTGGGGTCCCTGAGGCTGCTCACAGGCATTAGGGGTGCCCTTGCCTGAGTTCCTCTACCTCAGCTATGGCACAGGGCTCCCTCAGTGCTGGAAGGACCTCCATAAAGATGGTACTCTAAGGTTCTTCTGGACACAGCCCAGGACAATTTTAGTAATAACAACTAGGATGGCAGCAGCAACAGTTATTAAGAACTCACTATGGGCCAGGCATGGTGGCACATGTCTAAAGTCCCAGCATTCTGAGAGACTGAGGCAAGAGGATGGCAAGTTCAAGCCCAGCCTGGGCAACTTAATGACTTAGTAAGATGATGTTTCAAAATAAAAAGGTTTTTAAAAAGACTGGGGATGTAGTTCAGTGCAAAGGCCATGGGTTCAATCTCCCATACTAGGGAAAAGGAAAAAAGCAAATCTAAGTGCCAGGCACTGTACTGGACACTTACAAGTATTTTTTGCTCTTTTAATCTACCTAACGGCCTAGAAGTATAGATACTATTATTCCCAGATTGAGTTACTTGTCCAAAGGTACCAATCTGTTCAAGTGGCAACTCTGGAATTTGAACCCAGGCAGTCCACCAGATACATCCATTCAGAGCTACTGAATGAGCACATCTCTGGGCCAGGTGCTGTTCTGGGCACTGGGGACCAAGAGGAACAGTGCCTGGGACCAGAATGCCAACAGTGGTGGCAGAAAGAGGGAATAGGTTCTGAATCTGCTGGGAAGGCAGAGCCATCAGGATTTGCTGATGGAATGGACTGGTAGGAGGGAGAAGTTGGGACCACAGAACTGGAAAGCAGTGTGGCCCTTTCCTGAGATGAGAAGGGGCAGGCTGTTGGTGGGGAGGGGGTAGCAGTGGGAGGCCTGACCCCAGCGGAGATGTCACCCCAGTGCATATGTCCAGCAGGCCAGCAGAGGCTGAAGCCTACAGGCCAAGCTGGAGAGGCCACAGAGAAGCTACTAGGCAGATGAGTAGGGTATAGAACCTTTCCCTATATAAGGACTGGGGAGGCTCCCTGGGAATAAGAGCAGCTAGCAGAGAGGGGAAACCACTGTCCAAGCCCTGGGAGAGGAGAAGGAAGCTGGTAAGACCTTGGAGCCAAGAGAGGGGGTCTTGGGTACCTTGAAGCCCTGGCCATGGAGGTTGAGGGGGCAGGATCCTGGTGTCAAGGCTGTCAGGGGCTCAGGTAGGAGCAGCTGTTGTGCATGGGTGGGAGTGTGGGGAGCCTGCCCAGCACCCAGCCCAGGCCCCATTTGGCTGCAGGAGCCAGACAGTATGTCCCACTGGCTCCTGAACAGTCACGCTCAATTGTGTGTGCACCTGGGGATGGAAAGGCCCCTCGGGAGCCCTGGTGCCCCAGCTGTGGTCCAGGCTAAAATAATCCAGCCCTGGTGCCTCCATTCCACAGAGCTGTGACATGCGATAAGGGCCCTCCCTCCTATCAGTGAACAGTTGAGGCAGACAGCAGCTGCTGCAACCATTTTGTGAGCTGACTTATTTTTAAATAAGCACATATTTGGCCCTATTCGGGAGGCGACAGTGAGAGCTCTACCTTGCACACAGGGTGGGGGGAAGCAGGGCCTTAGGCCCCACCACCTGGACTCAAGTCCTGCCATTTCCAGTTGTGTGACAAGACCAAGTTACCTAGCCCCTCTCAGTGCCTCAGTGGCCACATCTGCACAGTGGGTTCAATTAGAGAATCACTCTTAGGACCTGGGGTTAGTGAGTTCACACTTTTAAATTCTTAGATCAGAGCCTGGCCCTGAGTACTTGCTCCCTAGGCTAGCAGGAGACTGGTCCCGAGATGGACAGGACTCCAGATGGCTTATTCGCACACCTCTACCCCTGCAGTGGTACCCGGAGGTGACACACTTCTGCAAGGGAGTGCCGATCATTGTCGTGGGCTGCAAGACCGACCTGCGAAAGGACAAGACGCTAGTGAACAAGCTGCGGAAAAACGGGTTGGAGCCTGTGACCTACCACAGGGTAGGAAGCTGGTGGGGGAGTGGGCACCTCAGGAACCTGCGCCACTGTGCCATGCATGTGGCACACTTAGGGTTCTTGGAGGCCATTGCGGATCAGGAGCTGCCAGCATTTGGAAAGGGAACCTCCAAGACCAAGAATTGTGCACACCCGAGTTAGTCCCACACAGAACATGCAGTGATTCAGTCTGCAGGCCTCTCTGCTATGTACCTAGGTTAGCTGGAAGTTAATTAGTCAGTTTTTTAGAGGCAGAGACCCTGGCAGGCACTGGGGTAGAAAACAATAAAATATATAAGAGCATTTAAGTCAAGCTAGGGTGCAGGAGCTGAGGGTACCCTGGAAAACTACCACCACAGCAGGGCATGGTGGCCAACACCTATGTTCCCAGCAGTCTGGGATGGGGGGGGGGGGGGTGCTCCACTGTTGCCCTGGAGACTCCCGAGATGAGACTGCTAAGAAGAGGGCTTCAGGGAGGGCGCACATGAGGCCCACCTGGGGCCCCCAGCTCACAGAGCCCCGTATACCTCTGTCTCTCTCTCTCTGGCAGGGCCAGGAGATGGCGAGGTCTGTTGGTGCAGTGGCCTACCTCGAGTGTTCAGCTCGGCTCCATGACAACGTCCATGCCGTCTTCCAGGAGGCAGTCGAGGTGGCTTTCAGCAGCCGCAGTCGCAACTTCTGGCGGAGGATTACCCAGAGCTTTTGCGTGCTGACCTGACTGCCCCAGCAGCTCCGAAAGGAGCTGGGCACTGACCTTCTGCCGAGGTAGCTGGGCTACCCCCAGTTCCTAGGCTGGACCCACGGAACGGACACCACCAAGGCTGGGCGCGGGGCCTGGGAGCCCTGGATTGAGGAAGGGGGCTCCCCAGCCCTGGGACCATCAACCGACACCCGTAGCCCAGTCCTGGACCCTCTTCCTGGAGTAGCTGTGCGGCCTGACCTGGCGCCACCTCGTGGCTGTTCGCAGGGCTGCACCTAAAAGTCCTGCTTCCTAGGACCATCCTCCGGGCAGAACCCACACCCCGCCTCTCCCTCATTTGCCCTACTGCCCCACGGGTAAGTGAAAGAACAAAAGTGACATCATTGTGTCCTGCTTCTTTTTTCAAAGGTCTTTACACACATTCCAAGGTGGGTAGGCGGCACTTCAGGAGACCTTCTTGGATCCAAACTTGGTTTTATCACTTCCAGGGCCTGGGAAAGTTCCTCATCTGTAAAGTGGGACAAATCAGAGACTTCATCATGGGGCTTTGGGTAGAGTAAGAGGATCATGAGTCTAACAAAAGTAAGGAGCTTAGCAGGTGTCTTGTATAAAAGATACACACACACACACAAAAGATACACACATCCTTGCTTGTATTTATTTATTTATTTAATTGTATTAGTCAAACTTCTCCAGGGAAACAAAACCAGTAACAGACACACACACACACACACACACACACACACACCTGCATGTGTGTGGACCTGTAGGGTGCACTGGAAATGCAGGTGAGTCGATGTTGCTGTCTTGAGTTCAAATTCCACACAGCACCCAGCTGGATCCTCAGGTTGCTGACTTCAGGCAGAAGTCCTTCTTCAGGAAATCTCAGTCTCTGAAACCCTTCCCCTGACTGGACATGGCCCACCCACACTATGGTGGTTCATCTCCTTAAAGGTTTTTTTTTTTAAATGTTAATCACATCTAAAAATATACTGCCATCTCTACAGATACTCAGGAAGCTGAGGCAGGAGGTTCACCTTTGTCCAGGAGCCTAAGGCCAGCCTGGGCAGCATAGGAAGAACCTATCTCATAAAAATAAAATAAAATAACACCTTCACAGAAACATCTAGACTGGTGTTTGACCAAACAACTGGACACCATAACCTAGCCAAATTGGCACATAAAATTAGTCATCACACCAGGCATGGTGGCATACACCTATAATCCCACTACTTGGAAGGCAGGAGGATCACCAAGAGTTCAAGGCCAGCCTGGGCTACATAGTGAGTTCGAGGCCAGCCTGAACTGCATAGTGAGACCCTGTCTTCAAAACAAAACAAAATTTAGTCATCATGTCTATTTGTTTCTCTACTGAGTCATCTCACACTTAGTACTCATTAATGTTGAGGTAAGAGACCAAAAAAAAAAAAGAGAGAGACAATGAAGTAGAACTTATTCCTCCCATTTATCAGTTGAGAAGACTGAGTCCCTGCCAGCACCTAGCCCATTATTACATCCACCTTCCTGTTAATACTCTCAGCCCCTTGCAGGGTTCCTGTGTGATATCCCTAGCTCCTGTCACAGTGTCAGGCCATCAGAGAGCTACTTAAACACCAGGTTTTTGGGGATTAGATGACAGAACCCCAGGTTCTCTTAGGGAAGAAGCCTCAGCCAGCAGCTGGGTCCCCTGCCATCTTGATGGCATCTTGTCCTCCTACATAGGACAGACTATCCCACCAACCTCTGCTCCATGCACTTCATCCCCCACCTCCCGAACCTCTCCTCCGTGCAGGACACTGCAATAGGCACCTGACCTGTGTTTCCTCATTTCATTCACACTGTGACCCTATAGGATGGGCATGATTATTGCTATTTGTCAGATGGGATAGCCCATCTGAGGATATCCCAGGAGGGTAACTCGCATAAAGGTGACACAGATATGGAAATGGTAGGTCTGATATCTGAACACAGTACTACCAACAATAAGGACAGAGCACTCTGCAATGTCAGTGGGGCAAGCCATATGCTTATCTAGGGACTGGGGACAGAGATAAAGGAGACAAAGATCCTGATTTAAGGAAGGTGAGGTCTTAAGCAAGAAGACAAGGCTAGAGATGTATGTAGCTCAATGGTAGAGTTCTTCCCTAGCACATGTAAGGCTCTGGGTTCTATTCCCAGCACGCACACACACACACACACACACAAAAGAGAAGAGGTAGAAGGATCTTGCACCCAGAAGGCTAAGGTAAGTGGCTCTCTGCAAGTATGAGGCCAGCCTGGGCTGTGTAGTGAGTTCAACACCAGCCTGAGCTATGTAGCAAGACCCTGTCTCAAAAAAAAAAAAAAAAAGAAAGACAGACCTGTGAGAAGTCAGTGTATATAAGAATTATAGCTGGGGCAGGAGGTATAGCTCAGTGGTAGAACACTTGCCTAGCATGCACAAGGACCTGAGGTCCATCCCCAGAACTGCAAAAGAAAAGGAAAAATGAAGGAAGGAAAGGAGAAAGAAAAAAATAGGAAGACAGGCAGGCATCATAAAATACCTATTAAGGGCTCCAAGCATGCACATTTTGGAAAATTAGCTATCTGAGCTAAGTTAACTCACTAGGCTTGGGGAGAACAGAGAAGAACATTCTGGGCATGGGGAAGAGCAATCAGGCTGGAAATATAGGCCAGGAAAAGTTGTTTCCTATTCCCAAGCAGCCTGGACTAAAATCCCAAAGAGAGGAGCTTGTCATCCAGGTGCCATTTCCACATGGGCTCTGACACTGTTTCCCGGCTGCAGCTCAGTCCTATGACCCAAGCTGTGAGCCCTCCCTTGGCTTATGTGGTCCCCCACCCAGAGATGTTTCAGACAAAGCTTCGGGGCCGAGTGATAGTGGCTGGCTTACTAAATATCATGAGTGTTCCCCATGTGCTCCAGCTCAGAGCTCAGCAATGTTGGGGAATATATGTTTGGCTTTGGTCACATGGGGCTTACCAAGAGCTTTTATGAGATTCACATGATTGCTGAAAATTTTGGATTTTGGTCCAAAGCACCTGGGCAGAGAACAGATTAGTGTAGCTTTGGCTGCTATTGAATAAGTTGGTTTGGACCAAGTCCACAGGCATGAGAGTCACCATTGAGACCAAAAATGAAGCCATGGCCACTTACCTTAAGGCTGAGACTGATGAGTGGACAGCAAGGGGAAGGTTCAGACCACACCCCAGCAAGGGCACCCCAAGGTCTCCTTAGGAAATGACCCTCCCTCAATCTCCTGCAGGATTCCAAGTACTATATGGGAGACTAGATCACAGAGTGAAGTTTCTTACATAATCGTTTTTTTGTTTTTGGTTGTGGTTTGTTTTTGTTTAGCAGTACTGGAGATTGAACCTAGGACCTTTGCACTGAGCTACATCCCCAGCCCTTTTTATTTATTTTTATTTTTATTTTTTTTGGTACCAGGGATTGAACTCAGGTCCTTGTGCTTGCGAGGCAGGTGGCGGAACCACTGAGCTAAATCCCCAGCCCTCTTTTTTAATTTTTTATTTTGAGATGGTCTCAATAAGTCACCTACACTGGCCTTGAACTCCAGATCCTCCTGCCTCAGGCTCCCATAGTACTGGGATTAAAGACATGCACCACCACGCTCAGCTCACAATTCATTTTAATGAGTTCACATTTGCTTACCACATCCAAGTGCCAGGCTCTGTGCCCCAGTCATTGTCCACAAAGCATTCACGTGATGCTTAGAGGTCCAGTGAGATCCCACACAGCATCCACCTCACAGAGGAGGTGACAGAAGCACAGAGAGCTACATAAATAAAGTACTCCTGACCTCAACAAGTGGAAGAGCTGGGATGTAAGCCCAGGACTGTCGAATGGCCAGATGGGGGCTGTAACACCTGCACTGGACCCCCAACCTGGACCCTGCCTGTACCAAGGAGTTCACATGTTAGGGAGATGAGAAACCCCAGAAATGTCAGGTACTAGAAGAGGCACTCTCTCTCACTGGCAGGTCCTCACCAGCCTCATCACAGTCGTTTTGAGTGCAGTGGGCATGAGGCTTGTAGCCCAAGTGGCTCCTCCCAAACACCAGCCAGTATGGAAAGTCAGCTGACCGGGTCAGAACACAAAGCAGGCTGAGTGGTGCCTGAAGAACCCAGCAGATGGGGCACAGACTAGAAAGTGTTGGTTTCTTCCCAAGCACCAGGCGTGTGACTGCTGAGGTTCCCTGTTAGACCCATTTCAGAGGAGAACAAAACCAGGCAGGCACCAGAGGAGCAGTGACCTGGTTCGGTGGGGACAGTCCCTGTACTTCACTGAGGACACACGCTGGGAGGTCAAGGTCAGGGAGGGGACAGTGACTCTCCAGCTCTCTGTGGGCAGAGGGGAACCAGGATGAGATCAGGGAGCTGGAGGACACAGAGGTGGACAGAGGGAGGACAGGACTGCTGGGGTCGGCCAAGCTGAGAGGAGGTCCCTTCGGGGGAGCAGAGGGGGGCAGATCACATACTTGAAGCCCTTGCCCTGACAGCTCCTTCACTTATACCCAGAGCTCATCACCACTTGCAATGGTCCTGTCCCCCCACTGGCAAGCTGGCTAAGCAAATTGGCTTATTTGTTTTGATTTTTTCTGCGATGAGGATTGGACATAAGCCCTGCATGATGAGCTACATCATCCCCAGTCTTCCCTCCTTCTTTTTTTTTTTTGAGACAAGATCTTTTTAAATTGCCCAGGCTGGGCTCAAACTTGCAATCCTCTAGCCTCAGCCTCCCAGAGTGCTAGAATTATAGGCATGTGCCACCACACCCTACATACACTGGGTTATTTGGAATTCCTGGTACTTCAAGTGCTCTGGGCCTCAAAATCCTGTCTGTTTACTAATGCCTAACATATAGCAAGCACTCAATAAATATGTGATCAGGGAAGGAATAAATGCAGTCTCTACTTCTGGCGCTTTGCCCATTTGGCCTGAATTACCTGGAATCTCCTAACCTCCAACCTCCCAGCATCCTTCATCCTCTCCACTTCCTGCACAGCCATCTTCCAGAGCATCAACCCAGTCACAAGACCATGCTGCACAAAAGCCTTCAAAGTCCCCACCACCCAGAGACGATCCAAAGTCCCCAGTGGTGGCCCCAGCCCACTTCCCCCTCAGCCTTATTCCCAGGACTGCGCACTGTAGCCACTCCCACAGACTCAAGGGCCACACCCCAGGGACACTGGCCTCCAGGCCATTGTCCAGGCCACCTCAGCATGCCCTTCCTTCCAGGCACTGACGGCTAAACTTCCTTCTACCCCTGAATCCTTCAGGGGCTAGCTCAGAGCCATCTTCTCCAAAAAGCCAGATGACCTGTCACTTATCCCTCTTCACTGAGTACACACACACACACACACACACACACACACACGCACACACACAAGTGTCCATTCTCTGCACAGGCCCTTTGGCTAAGGAACCGGACTTTTCTTCCTGTGCTGTGGGTGGGAAAGGCCCAGCTGGACTCTCTGAGATGACAGTTCCAGCGGCGGCACCAGGGAGTGTGTCTGGGAGGGTGGAGGCGGCAGCCAGGAGACCAGTTGGGCAGCTGCAGACATCTAGACACAAGGAACAAGCCAGCACAAGTCAAGGCTTGGTGGCTTCTGGGCTGAGAAGCTGCACACATCGAATGTGGACTTCAGGAAGGGTGGGGACGCTGAAAGGGAGGGAGGAATGAAGCCTCTCCCCTGGGTGAGAACTGGAGAAAGCCTGCAAGCACATGGAGAAGGGTGGGGACCGAGCCAGGTGGCCTGTTTCTCTCTCCCGCCCAGCCTGTTTCAGGTCCCAGTCTGGTGTGGCCAGTCACACACAGCCATCCTAGGTGTCAGAAAGGCACCCGAGGTGGGGTCTTCCTCACCCAACAATACCCCCTTTCAGTTCCTCGGGGCCAGGCAGGTGGGAGCTGGGAAGGTCCAGCCCCAAGGTTAGTCAGGGCCAAGAGCCACAAACCACTTCTCCTCCCCCAGCTTGGGTGTCGTCTACAGGGGAGGCAGAGTGTAGGGGTGGGGACTCCAAGTCATCTCCTCCAGGACAGGCCACTCCCTGGCATCCTCAGAGCAGGGAGGGTTGGGCCCACACTGCCTGTGAGTCATGAAGCTTCCCTTTTCCCTCTGCCTGGGCAGCGTCCCACTTGGGCTTCACATCTAGGGCTCCACATCTAAGTGCCAGGACAAGGTGGCAGCTGGGCAGTCACACAACTTCAGGCTACTCTCTTTGCCCTCTTCAACCACCTTTTGCTCCTGGGAGTTTGTTCTTTGGAGAATGAACTTTCAGAGCCCCCCAGGAAGTTATCCCAAAGATGCAGGCTAGAAAGTCAACAAAGTCTGTGACCATGCCATGCAGTGATCAGCCCATAACAGAAGAGAATAGCTGACCACCCACCTCTACACAGGAGGGCTTGATATCCAAGCTAAATAGTTCTGAGCAACAGGTCAGGTTATGGAAAGGGGCTTCTCCTGGGTTCAAATCCTGGCTATGAAACTTAGCTATGCAACCTTGGACAAGTCAGTCACTAAGGCTCTCTTACCTATCACTTTCCACATCTGTATGGGTTTTTTTTTTCCTTAACTCTAACTTTCTTTTTCCAGACAGGGTCTCACTATTACTTCAGGTTGGCCTTGAATTACGATATAGCCCAGGCTGGCCTCCTCCAGCCTCAACCTCCCAAGTGCTGGGATCACAGGCCTTATCTCTAACTCTTAAGCATCATTTTCTTATCTGTAAAAGGAAGGTAAGAGTAGGACCTCCTTCCTAGACTGGTTTGAGGAATTAAATGAGTTAATGCAAATTGTGCTTATTCACTCAATATTCACTGTCAACTAGAGTTACTAACTATGAAATGAGGATAAATTATTTACCGTGCAAGATTGTTGCTCAATCTGCAAACCAGGAACAAACATGTAAGTGTTCAATGCTGGTCCTCTCTTCCCAGTCTGAGCTACCAAGTCACCAAGGAGATAGGGAGCTCAGACCCTCCAGAAAGCCTATGGAGGAGGAGCAGGTTATTAGGGTCTTTGCAAGCCTAGAGTATAGGGCTGGACCTTCTGATAACCCTGGGAGGAAGCGGCTGGAATCTCAGGGCTCGTATTTTCAGGGAGACACCAACACCAGCCAGGCCAGTGCTGACCCCGTGACAAGCTCTCTATGCCTCCACCTAAGAAACAGGAGTTGGTTGCTACCATGTGCAAGGCCTAAAGTCGACTGAACACCAAGTGGAGTGGAGTTGGGGGTCCACAGGTGAGCAGGACGTGGTCCTCGAATTCTAAGCCCCTATCCTCCACGACTGTGAACACAACTGGTGGCAGAGCAGAGCATCTGACTTTGGCTCCGCAGCCACCAGCATGGCTAAGAGATCAGCAGGTTAGGCTGCAGTGCTTCCTGCCCCATGAAAGACACTGAGGTTACACCCCGCCACCCCCACATCAGAAACAGGGTTGCTGTAGGTCCCCTCCACCGTTGTGTCTGGCCAGGAAGCACCGGTGACATTCTGCCCTCCTGCCTCATTCGGTACCCACAGTTGTCTCACCTTGGTGATGAGGAAACAGGTTCAGTGAGACCAGGAGTGGGATCAAAAGCAGAGCTGAGAGGGTAGCGCAGCATGGGAGTTCCATCACCAGCAGCCCTCCTCTGGGTACTGGCCACATGCTGGACCTTAACCAGCAGGGGGCAGCAGGGCCCAGGAAGAAGAACCTTTCCCAGCTCCATATGGGCAGGAGTGATCTGCCCTGCACTCCTGCTTGGGGCCCAGTTAGGGACGTGTCACTTCCATGAGCTCACAACTAATAAGCCATTCCCCACCTTATCCCCCCAGTTTTTTGTCCCTAGGGATCAAACCCAGAGGTGCTCTACCACTAAGCTATATTCCCAGCCCTTTTTATTTTTATTTATTTTTTACTTTGAAACAGGGTGTTGCTAAATTGCCCCAGCTGGCTTCAAACCTGTCGATCTTCCTGCCTTAGCCTCCCTTCTAGCTGGGTTCACAGGCATGTGCCTCCATGCTGGGCCACTCCACCAACATTTTACTGAACAAAAACAGAGACTCAGAGTGGTGAATGACTTAGCTGTTCAGCCAGTATGGGCAAACCCAGAATGAGAATCACGCTGTCCTAAGTTTGCAGTGGTTCTAAAGGGAGACAGACCTGGGTTTCAATCCAGACTCTGCACTCACCAAATCACAAAATTACAATCAAGTGCACCATCTACAAAAAGATCAAAGGAGACACCACGGGACGCCCTTCTACTTCCATGCGGCTGCCACATCCTGAGCCCAAGGAACCCAAACTAGCTGATTTTACCTAGAGGAGGAAGACTGGAACTGAGGGGCATCAGCCCTGCTGCTCCCGACCCATCCCAGAATTTGCAGCCTAGTTCAGAGAGGTGATCAACCTACTGAAGAGTGTCAAGGAATCCAGAAGGATCTCCCAGCAAGTGAAGCGCTGTGGAACTCTGTGGGTAGGCACCAGGGGGCACACCCCATGGGGACAGAACAGTCCTGGGGGGCTGGTAGGAGGCGGAGGGAGAGCTGGAGGTGGGTGCAGGCAGGATTGCCTGAGAGAGAGCTCCTGCCGGCTTGCAAGCAAACCAGGGCCAGCAAGGGTTGCTGGGAGAGGTCCACTGGGTACGGAACTCTTTTCTCCCTGTTCTCCTGCCAGTGGTGACAAAGGGCACCTCTGCCCTGCCATCTCTCTGGGGGCCTCCAGCTGGTTCAGTGTGGCCACTTCAGACCCCCCCTTTCTTTTCACTTCCCCACTTTACCCCCACAGGGTGTACGTATGTATGTATGCAGTTCAGGCTGTCCTTGCACTCACTAGCTAGCCATAGTGGCCTGGCCTAGAACTCACAGCAATCCACCTGCCTCAGCCTCCTGAGTGCTGGGATTATAGGACTGTGCCACCATGTTCAACTACATCCTTTTATCAAAACTAAGAAATTAAGGGCTGGGGATTTAGCTCAGTGGTTCTGCTGCCTGCCTGATAAGGTCCCGAGTTTGATCCCAGGTACAAAATAAAACCCCAACTAAGAAATCAACATTAATGTTGTAAACTAAACCCTAGATTTTATTTGTTTTTTGTTTTTTGTTTTTTTGGTACCGGGGATCAAACTCAGAACCGTGCACTTTTGAGGCAGGTGGCAGAACCACTGAGCTACATCCCTGGCCCTTTATTTGGTTTTCACCCATCTTTTTTCTCACTAATGTCTTGTATCTATTCCAAGGTCTAATCCAGGATGCTCTGTTGTTAGCAGCTGCATATTACATATATATTCTAGTGACTATTCTAACAGATTTTTTTGTTTTGTTTTGTTTATCAAGACAGAGTCTTACTGTGTAGTTCAGGGTGATTTGAACTCACTATGTAACCCAGGCTGGCCTTGAACTCATGGCAATCCTCCTGCCTCAGCCTCCCAGAGTGCTGGAATTATAGATGTGTACTACCATGCCTGGGGCTGAGACAGGAGGATCGCAAGTTCAAGCGCAGTCTGGACAACTTAGTGACTTTCAAGACACTGTCTCAAAATAAAAAGTAAATAAATGTGTTGGCGATGCAGCTCAGTGAGAAGGCCCTGGGTTCAAACCCCAATATGGAAAAAAATTAAACAAGCCAGGCATGGTAGCACATGCCTGTGATTCCAGCACTCTGGGAGACTGAAGCAGGAGGATTGCTACAAGTTGGGAGCCAGCCTGGATTACAGAGTGAGTTCAAGGACAACCAGAACTACATAGCTAGACTCTGTCTCAAAAGATAACAATGAGGGGCTGGGGACTTAGCTCAGTGGTGCCACCACCTACTTCGCAAGCACAAGGTCCTGAATTCATTGCCCCGTACCAAAAAAGAAAAAACACTGTATTTTTTTGTATTGCTTCTAGTTTTTCTACTATTAAAGTTATCTAAAAACACTAATTACTATTTACATGGTAGCCCTGTTGATCAACAGTATATATTTACTATACTATACAGTCCTATCATGTAAACATCACATACATGTGCGCGCACGCACACACGCACACACACTAGTTTTGCAGACAAGGAAACAGAAGCAGGAGACCAGTTCCAGGTTAAGTGCTCCTGTTAGGGCCCAGAACAGAGACAAAGACTCAGATCTTCCTGTTTTCCTGTTCCTGAGCCCTAACCACAGCGACCCACTGTCCTCTAACTAAAACTCTGTCGCATCAAAGTGCTGCTGCAGTTTTTATTCAGGACTATCAAAGAGTCCAGGAATCCGAAAATGAGAGGAGAAAGGTGTTAAGAAAAAAACTGGCCAAGGGCAGGGGATTTAGCTCAGTGGTTCTTCCATCTGCCTTGCAAGTGCAAGGTCCTTTGTTTGATCCCTGATACCAAAAAAAAAAAGAAAGAAAGAAAGAAACTGATCAAGTGTGGTGATGCACACCTGTGATCCCAGCACTCGGGAGGCTGAGCCGGAAGGATCACTGCGTGTTTAAGGCCAGCCCAAACTACATACCAAAACCCTGTCTCAAAAACGAAAACAAAACTGCCGGGGATTTAGCTCAGTGGTGCCACCGCAAGTGCAAGGTCCTGAGTTTGATCCCCAGTACCAAAAAACAAACAAACAAACAAAACATTAAAACATTTTGGCAGGGGCCAAGCATTTAGCTCAGTGGTGCCACTGCCTGCCTCGCAAACGCAAGGTCCTAAGTTTGATCCCTGGTACAAAAAAAAAAAAAAGCATTGCATAAAACATTTTGGATTTTTCCTTGACACTTAGTTTTATCAGAGATCACCCGATAGCTGGGTGGTGGACATGGTTTGAATGGCACCTTCCGTGATCCGGGAGACAGACAAGTCCTCTAGGATCAGGGAGGGCCTCCCCTGCACACCCTGGGGCGGCCACTTTGATGTCCCGGACAACTATGTGACCGAAGGGCAAACCCAGGGAACAGCTGTGCCTTCCAGCTACCAGCACTTTCCTTGGGCCTTTGGGATGTGGCTTCTCCTTTCCAGCTACTCCAGTCCCGAAGGCAGTTTAGGCTTCCCCACGCCCCTCCTCTGCCAGCTTGTGTAATCCTCCCACCAACTCTGCGTGTGTGCATGTGTGCATGTGTGTGTGTGTGTGTGTGTGTGCCTTGTGCAAGCTAAGCACCTGCTCTACAACTGAGGTGCATGCTCTTACCCTAGATGTAACATTTGAACCTGGGCAGTCTATTCAGGGCTTGGAGTCCATGGCTTTAACCACTGCACTATACTGTTCCACTTTCCTGCTCCCCAGTGCCCTTCCTGTCCTCTCCAGTCTCTGCCCCCTTGATTTCTCTGCCTCTGGTGGCCAAGACCAGTGTTCCTCCACCCAAAACACCAGTGGGGGAAGGGGAGGTTAAGCAGGTGCAGGAAATAAAAAAAGAAAGAGGAAAGAAGGAAGGGAGGGAGGAGAAAATGAACAACTTTGGAAATAACCTGCCATTTATAGTAACAGTTAAAGCACTTTGCCTCTGTGCTCTACCTCCCCGAAACCATGACCCAAGCCAGGTGTGGCAGAGCACACCAGTAACTGGAAGGCTGAGGCAGAAGGATCAAAAGTTCGAGCCTTGCCCTGGACACAGAGACTTATTGGAATCCTGTTTCAAAACAAAAAATGGAGCCTGGGCCAGGGATTTAGCTCAGTGGTTTTGCCCCCTGCTCCCCAAGCGCAAGGACCAGAGTTCGATCCCCAGTACCAAAAAAAAAAAAAAAAAATGGAGCCTGGGTGTCAGATCAAGACTGTAATCCAAGCAGTCGGGAGGCTGAGTCAGGAAGATCACGAGTTCAAGGCCAGACTGGGCTACACAGTGAGTTCAAGACCAGCTGACTACACAGCGAGACCTTGTCTCAAAAAAAAAAAAAGTCTGAGGGAGGCTGAGGCAGGAGGATCACAAATTTAAGCCCAGACTGGGCAAGTCAGTGACTTAGAAAGATCCTGTCTCAAAAATAAAAAATAAAAAAGATCTGGGGATGTAGCTCAGTGCAAAGGGACTGTGTTCAATCCCCAGTATCACACAAAGGAAACAAATACACAAACACTGATACACTGACATAATCAAGAGGAGCCTAAGTATGATATGGTGTCCCAGATGAGATCCTGGGACAGAAGAAGAATGTTGGATAAAAACTAAGTAATAATAATCTGCACTATTATCCACTTTACTAATACTAGGTTTTTACTTGTAACAACTATATACACTAACATAAGGTAGCAATTAGTTTTTTGTTTTGGAGGGGGACATTTGAGACAGAGTCTCAATATGCAGGTCAGGCTGTTCTTGAACTCACTATGTAGCCCTGGCTGGCCTCGAATTTACAGTGATTCTCCTGCCTTAGCCTCCCAAGTGCTGGGAATACAGGTGTGTGCCACCACACCTGGCAGGCTGGCCTTTAAAGGTAGTAATAATAGGGGAAACTTGGGTGCAGGGCTATATAGAAACTACAATTTTTTGTAAATATAAAACTATCCTTTAAAAAGCTATTTATTGGCCGGGAATTTAGCTCAGTGGTTCCGGTGCCCGCCTTGCAAGCACAAGGTCCTGAGTACAATCCCCAATACAAAAAAAAAAGAAAGAAAAAGCTATTTATTGTGCTGGACATGGTTATGCACACCTTTAATCCCAGCACTCAGGGAAGCTGAGGCAGGAGGATCACTGTAAATTTGAGGCCAG